TTACTTAAGACAAGTTAATTGTACCTATACATTGAAACAAAATAATTGAATAAAACTTGAAATTGAAACAAAATCGTAAACTTTTTAACTTGTTAACCTATATTGAGAGATTGGTTGAATTGGTAAGTGCTCCTCTTTAGTGCTCGTTTTTTTTCAAAATTTGATGTTGTTTTTCTTCTAGACTCTATGTTGTGAGAGCCTGAAATTTTAGTAGCTTTTAGGCACTAACAAATGGTTCATTTCTTTTTTTCCATCTCCACCCCCTCTCGAGTTATCGCCTCTTAAAATTTGTAAAATTTGAATTTTTGACGCCTTATATTTCCGAAACCGTAAGCTTTTTCAAATTTCTATAAACGCAGAAAGCTAACGATAAATTCCATGACATTAAAAAATAAAATTATTTTTCTTAACACACTAAGCAACTAACTCTTAAAATCGAGTATTATATTAACCTCTCTTAAAATTAATTTTTGCTTTATTTCAAAGACTGTGTAAATCTCTCATTCTAAATATATGCAATCCTAGAAATAGTTTCATATATGAAAGAAAACAGTTTTAATAGTGTTGTAGGTATACATAGATTGTTTTTCATTGCAAAGCAGTATTTTCACTTATTGAGGGGAAAAGTGCTACACTACAAACCATTGGTTTATTGGACCCAACGTTATTAAATTTTATACCAGCGCTAATGTTTCAGTATGATAAGAACACTTATCATACTGAAAATAAGAACTCTATTTTATTTATTATTTAATTATACCGTGATTTTGGTTTCCAGCTGATAAAACATTGATGTAGTTTTATTAGAATTAAAATTCATTAACAAAAACTAACTAATTGTTAGTAGAAACGTTGTATTTACATTATAACTTGAGCTGCTTGAAAAATGTTATTTTGAAAGTCTTTTTCTGTCATGACCAACTTTGACTTTTTTTAGTTGTTCCCATTATTCAAATTTCCATGTTATTTATTTCATTGTATTATGTGGAGCCTTTTTTTGTGCTGACTTCTAAATACCCACGTAAATAATTTCAAACAACCCCTAACAAGTAATCAAAACATTATTATCACGGACAAAAAGAAATTCTACCGAATTCTATTATTTTAAATATAATTATTCTATTTAAATCATTTTCAAATTACAACTTAAAAATTTATTCTAATTGTAAGCTAGTTTGATATTTTTCAATCTTTTGATTCTATTCTCTTAGAGCAAGCTTTAAGAGAATAGAATAATCGAGAAATATATGGTTATAAATCCATTATAACAATTTTTATATTAATCACACTCTTTAAATCAGCATTTAGTGCATGTTGTATTAACATATAGATTATGGAACTGCATTCTACGGATTCCGAAACAATTACCATTTTTTGATCTAAAATTCTTCTAAAGAACATATCCGTAAATATTTCGTTTTAAAATTATTTTAATTCGCAAAATCCATCAGGTATCGAATTCATTTAACCAATTTTTTCTTCTCATTACTTTTAATTGTTCATTTGATGAATATGTAATTAAGTCAGCCAGAACAATTACCTTTAAATGAAAACCTTCTATATTCAATTATATTAAAAATTTTTACATTTATTTAACAGAAATTTTAGCACAAATATATTATTTCAAAATACGTTTTTGCCTTAGAATATAAAATCATGTGCAATATGAAACTTAATCTTCAAAAATTAAGCAATTTATTTAAACAAAAAAAGCAAAATACAAACGCGTTTAAACATCATAATCCTAATTTCCCTATCACAATTATTAAATTAAAGAACAATTTATATACATACATACATATATGTACATGTATTTGCAAGGAATCAAAATTTAAATAAAATAAATTTAAACAAAAAGAATTAGGAAAATAAGAAGAAAAAATACTTAAAATTTTGCTGCCACTAAAATCGACATAAAAATCGTGATGTGAAAGAAAACTGAAATTACAAAAATACAAAAATTAAACATAAAAACAAAAAAAAACGATCTATTTATTTACTGCCACCTAAACGTCATAAGCTCTAGCAAAAAAAAAAGCCAACATAAACAAAAACCATGTACAACAAAACGAGACCTTGCCAAAAACAAAGTTTTATTGCTGTTTGTTACTGTCGCTGTCGTTGTCGTTGTGTATTGCTTTTATTTGTTCATTACTTAAACATTTTGTTATTTTTCTTTTTTCCTTAAACAAGACACATTATTGTTGAAAAATTACCTTAAAGATAATATGTTGTAAAGGTTTTCTCAAAACATAAAAACTCGTATATGCACATATATTAAATAAGGGCAAAAAAAAATAATAAACATTTATCTAAATATTTTAGCTATAAAAAAGGATAGAACAGCATTGAAAACAGTTGTATCAATTCTTAACAATATAAAAAATCCTATACGATTTCTTTCCATCCCATAAGAACTCATAATATGATATAAAGTGTAGTAGATAAAAGTATAACGTTGCCTATTATATAAGTATTTCACCATATAAATAAAATGAATTAAAGTGGGTGTGATTTTCTTATAAATATCGTTCACATGCATTAAATCATTTCTACGGCATACAGCAGTGCTACCAAACCTATCATTTACGAGTGACTCTCATTTACATGGTACTTACGTTATACCATTTTTTAAACTCTTGTACTATAAAAAATTTTTACTTTTCATGGTACGCTAAATTTACTATTTTTTAAATTAAAATGTACAATTTTTTAATGGAAATTAAAAATTCTTGGCTGTCGATATTTTTCTTAAAAACATTTTTCCTCAAATAAATGATGAAAAGTTAAGTATACAAATAATAAAACAACAAACACGATACAGATATTTATGATATTTGTGAAATCTATGACAGTGATTGGTGGTACCACAACGTGAAATAATCTACATGGATATATAGTACAATATTTTAGCAAATTAAATGGGTCAAACTTTTATTTGAAAATGTGGAAAAGAACCAAAATTAATTAATATAAAATTTTTATAAATAAAATATTGATTTGAATTATTTAATTGCTGCAGACTACACAAAATTGTACCATTTTTTTTTCTGTGGTACCATGATTTTAGGTTTTCTGTACCATTTTTTGAAATTAAATTTATAGCAGCCCTGTCAAACTAATTCAATTTCAAAAGCGAAAACTTTAATACGATTAAGCAAGTTTTGTCGAAATTCTGAAACTGTTGTCTGTTGCAAAGGTCGTCATGGTTGCTACGCCCAATTAAATCTTTTCAATTTCGCTACTGAACTTCTTTTTAGTACTACTTTTTCTAATAACACTGTGGAAAAATTTTATTTAACTCTACTAATTTTTTTTTGTTAAATTTTAGTAATTACTTTTCTATTATATGGTAAGCTTCAGGAGTCAAAATTGAGTTTCGGCAATTTTAATTTTTCAGAAATCGTATAGGTTTTTTTCACAATTTAATAAAAACAAAAAGTTTGCAGCAAATAACGTATATATCTTATTACAGACATGTATATCTAAAACATAATATATTTTCTTGACTAATTTAATCCGCAATCGAATTCGACCATTATTTTATTATTGAATTTTTGCTGCTTTCCTAAATGCAGTAATTATTATATAAGAATTTTATTTTAAATAATAAAATAAGTATGATATTTTTTTCAAAAATGTTTCCTTTTGTTAGAGAAGGCAATGCAGCTTTACAAAACTTTAGATCGAAATATATTTCAAATTTATTTCTTCAGCCTTAAAGTCTAATCATCCTATATTCAACAAAAATATTTAGCTTACAATGCTAAGCTTTGTTTTGTAAAAGCACAGACTCAGTTTGTTAAGCCTAGCAATATAGAAAGTTAATTTCTCAATTTCCAATTCTTGCAAAATTATTATATTAATAAGTACATTAAACCGATTTTTACTTTTCAAGCCTATTATTCAAAATAAATGTAAAACGCTCACCATTCGTCAATAACATGTTTATGAGCATTATAGAATTAAAATAGCAATATAATAGAATAACAATAATAAAATGGATAATAACATTACCATATTTCGGATTATAATATCAAATTGCTTAAATCAATGATAAATCATAATTACTTGTATAACGGCAAATTTATCACTTTTCTCTTTCTGTTTACCTTCAGAAAGCTTCTCATAACCTCCGGTTAAAATATACTGGGCTTATTCAATTATGAGCTACTAATTCGAACTATTTTACACAAAACGTTCAATTTATCATGAATTCACTGTGTAATATTACAGACAAAATAATTTTCTTTTCAATCCTAACATGCACACCAATATAAACATACAAGTATATACATACTCAAAATACTAAATATATTATTTGTATGTTTAAAAAGTAGATTTGTTGGGAGGAAAGGGAAAACAACTATGTAGATGATTGTTGCAATGAGCTTTATAACATTATCGTAAAATCAAATAGAAATATCGACTTATCAACTCTTGAATTAGTCAGTGTTTTCTTTTATTCCTTTTCCATGAGTCGAGATGTTTTGATTTAAACAATAAAATGAGTTCTTATCTCTATCTTCAGTGTACAAACAATATACATTTACATAAAGTATACACATATTTAACATATAATTTACTTGCATAAGTTGAGAATCAGATGACAAGTTGAAATTTGAAATTGGCTCTAGCAATTTAACGGCAAAATGTGTGAAAACGCTGAATTTATTTTCAAGTTTATTTTTTCGGCTTCCATAAACAAAATTTTCCATCTGTTGACAAATAATTTTTGATAAAAAAGAAATTCTGATAAAGAAAAAATAATTATTCAATTAAAAAGTTTAAGCACTTTACTTTCAGCACGTAGTTGATTTGCATTTTATCGAAAAACATCATCGTCCTTTGTTTAATTCAGTATGTTTTCAAAGGTTGTTCTAACAAAGGTTTTTTTTAACTGAACTAACAATTAAAGAAATTCACTAGCTTATAAAGAAATTTTTAAAATTGCTTTTCAAATAACAATAAATAGCAATTTTTTCTTTTTTAATTTATAGTGCCCCGGCCCAAAGGTCAACATTCTGCTCCACGAGGTGGCCCACCACGTTCATGGACAAATGCTGAATTAACAGAGGCATTGCAACATGTATGGAATAAAAAAATGACAACAAGTCAAGCTTCAAGAATATTTGGAATTCCTTACAATTCGCTTTTAATGTATGTACGAGGGAAATATGGAAAAAGTTTAAAACTAGAACAATTAAGAAAAGACTGTATTTCTGGACCACCTATTGAACTTTTACAAATGGGAATTAATAATAGTAGTGGTAATAATTCTGGTGGCAGTAGCAGCAAAAACAATAAAAATCATCATCATTTAAATGATAGTAGATCAAAGGAATTAAATGAATTAGAAAATTCAATACATAGAAATTTACAAAATGAAGCTGATTTATTACAAGGTGCAAATCCATTATTCAACCCGTTTCCACCTGGATTTTATCCAGATTTTGGTGGCGGTTTTCCTGGATTACCCCTTGGAATGTTAAATTTATTACCACCCGAAAGACATCCGCCATCATCTTCATCTTCATCATCATCGGCTGCGGCTGCTGCAGCTGCTGCAGCTGCTGCCGCATTACATTTAAATATGGATGAAGATTGTAAATCGGATCGTTCTAAGCAATCATTAGAAGATGATTTTCCACAACCATTAGCATTAAATCGTGATTTAGATAGACGGGAATTACTGATGCAGCCGAATGGGCAAGATTGAAATTTTTGGCGAGATTGGATTACAAATCCAATCTTGATGCCAATTCAATCAAACAACATAAACACAAATAATAATATTAATAACAACAATAACAATAATAGTATTAATAATAACAACATTAATAATAACAACAATAACAACAATAGTAACAATAATAACATGAATAATAATAATCGCATTAAATTAGGAAATTTTATAACAAATCACCAAATATCTCATCAACAACAACATCCGCATCATCAACATTTACAACAACATCAGCAGCTTCGTATGCCTCATCATACGTTCTTTAAGGCACGTAAAATGAGAAGAGCTAAACGAGCTAAATTTCGTACAATAAATGAGGCTAGTTTTTAATTTAGATAATTTTATTATTTTAACTAATTTATAATAATAAAAAATAATATAGAATATAAAAAATTAATGGTTGCAATAATTAATAATATTTAAAAAAAAAATAATAATAGTATTTTTAAGTTGTTTTTTTTTTACTTACAATATAATACACACATACATTGATGCATAATATACCCATTATATTATATGTATGGATGTGTACAAAATTTTTATATCAAATCAAAATTAATTAACATGTATTGTATTAGTAGAGTCCTTTTTTATTTATTATATGTTCAAAACAACGAAATATTATTAAATAAGTAATAAAATAAAATAAATTTGTAATTAATTAAAGCAAATAATTAATTTACCTTGTATAAGATGTAAAGAGATTTATTAATTTGTTTCCTATATATTATATTTAATTTCATATAATTAAAAGTATATATTGTATTTACATAAATTCAGTAAAACTTCTACAAAACTTAAATTCTCTAAATGTGTTCGAAATCAATCTTATAAAAGAGAATCTTTGAATATACCAAACATCAAGAATTATTTGAGAATGTTAAATTAAAAAATAAGTAAGTTTGAGTTTAAGTAAGAAGTATTAGACTGTGACATGTATAACAATAAAAAAAATGCATAAGTAAAAATGTGTTATATACTCACTCGCAATAAAAACAAAAAAAAAATATATTTTAATTGCAATATTTATTTCTTCCATAATTTTTATTTTTAAATTATATACAATTTTTTTTAATTATATAAATGTTTTTTTTTAATTCTAATTCTCAGATTTGTTACTCAATTTATGTATGTATGTTTTTTTATATATGTATAATTAATTATTATGCAATTATAGTTTAAAAATAATCATTAAGTAAATTCAATATAATAATTATTAAATTTAGATTATAATCTAATATATTTATAGTAATAGATGTAAAAAGTTATTGTATAAAATATTTACAAGTAAAATAATTTCTCAAAAAAAAAAAAATACAAAAAAAAAATAAAACAACAAAAAACTATAAAGTTGGCTGAGAATTAGAGCTCTGTAATAAAAATATTTGTAAAAATTTAATTATTATTATAATAAAGTAAATAGTATAATTAGATCAAATTTCAAAAAAAAAATAAAGGTTTTGTTAGTATAAACAATAATACAAAATATGAATATGTATACATCTACATATATGTACATATGTACTGTATATGTACAAATGTATATACATACATATAAACATTTATTTTCAATAAAAATTCTTTTGGTTGGAAATGTTAATGAATTTCTTATTATATTTTCGTTATCATTATAAAAAAGTATGAAATCAACTTGAATCAAAATTTTTTTGTTAATTATTCAAATTAAATATGTCATAGGTAACATTGTGCATGGCTTTTTATAAATGTACACAAGCAACATTTAAAATTCATAAAATTTTTTTCAATTACTAAATATTAATTTAATAAATTTTTTTCCTTCCATATTTTCTATTCTAAATACAAGTATTTGTGAATTAATTTGTTTAATAAGTTTAAAACCATTGATTTATTTTATTTAATTAATGTCTTTTTATTACATAATTAAAAAATATTTAATAAAGTTATTTTACATTTTGTAAAATATTTTAATTAATGCCGTTATTCTTACAAATCTTTGATGTAACATGATTCATAATATGCACTGTAAAAGTACTTATAAATTTAATCAAGCTAACCTTCACTTAAAAATCGCATTAATACGGAATTTATTAGCTTATCCACTTATGATCTATAACTGCTAAATTATTATCGTATTACAAGAACTTTGCAGTTGGAAAAAGTGCAAAAAGTCGTATCAAAGAGAAAAAAATTGTTCAATTCTACAACTAATTTATAGTGAGATTTACCTGATTTATCAACACAATTTTCAACCCTTTTTACAAATAAAAAGTTAAAAAACAGAATTTGAAATCTTAATGGTGCTTTCACTTTAGTTTTTTTTTAAATTCAATTAAATTTTAATTGTAATCTTGTGCACATTATTTTTGTTTGTATTTTGTTTGTATTATTATTTTTTTTTTAATTTTTTTTTATTTTCACAAGGATAAATATAATAATAATTATGTACATACTTATTAAGTTTATTAAAACTTAATTATCTTTTAAGTTTATAATATGTATGTGAATAAACTATTATAAAAATTTATTAAATTAGTTTTATTTTTCTAATTTTAATTTTATTTTAATTTAGTTTTCAATTATTTGAAACGCCATTTTTTTTGTATTAGTATAAAATTGTTGAATACAATTTATTTGTATTTGTTATTTTTTTTCAGTGCTCTTGTTTATTTCATTAAATGTTTGCCCTTTGGCAAGAATTCGATAGGTTTTGAACCTTTTTTATTTTTAAAAATCATTAAGCGCTTATAACATTATATATTATATATTACGCACATACGAGTATAAACATATGGAGAAAATTTCAAATAAGAATTGAATACATTGAGTTTTTATCATATTTTTTTATTTAAATAATTTTTTTTAATGTAATTGAAATAGTTTTGCAGTTTGCTAAACATTCACAATACATGACTTAAATGTTCTGAAAAATGTTCTTAAAATCCCAAGGAAAAATTTCATTGCAACACAACGCATCTATTATACAAAAATTTTCATAAAGTGACAATTTGAAGTTTATATTTTATTTAAAATATTTAAAAAAATAGATGATTTAGACAAAAAAAACCATATTTTTCCAAAAGCACACTTCCTTTTTTAGAAAAATGTTAAGAAAAAATCTAAGATATAAACATTTAATTGTAGTTCACGTACCAGTTTCATAACAGCAAGGAACAAAATCTAATTTGTTCTATAATAAAACTTTAAAAAAAAAGGATTAAATTTGATTTTAAACTTTTTCTTCTCAGCACAAGACTAAGGATCATATTATAAAAGATCAAATGCAAAATGCTTTATGCTGTTAAACTTACTGTATAAACTCAGATAATTGCTGTTTAAGCTCAGCATTAAAATAACAAAAACAAATTTTTTCAATAAATCTTTTTGTTCAAAGACAATATGTAGCAAAACATTATTTACGTAGTACTCATTCTATTCGACATTCGATCAATATTGCATAAATATATTTTTTTTTAATTTTTCCTACAATACAATTCTTTTTAATTTATTTAAAATTACAATTTATTATTTTACATAATTAAATTTATTATTTTCATAAATAAAGAGTTTTTCACTCAAGAAATACTTAAATAACATTTCGTATAGGAGAATAGAATAAAAAAAACTTACAAATTTTTCATTACACCTACATATTATATAGAGAGGGAAAAAACTCAATAATAATAAGAAAAAATTTCAACCGAAACATACAAAATTCAATACAGGGGTAAAATTTAATAAATAAATGTAAAATAAATAAATAAAAAAAAAACATTGATGTTATTATTTAAAATTTTATATAAAACGTAACCACATAGTAGCCAAAGAAAATAAAAAAAAAAAAAACATAAATTTTAAATAAAGCATACCTTTACATAAATAGTAGTTATGTAATTAATAGTAATATAAATATTAGAATGTAAAACATAATAAAATAGTTTTTCACTTTATACTAACTTACATATTAACAGAAAAATAATAAGAAATTTACAAAATAATATTAAAAATTTTTGCGAAATTCTCACATAAAAAGTTGCAACTGTGGACACAAACTACTTAAAATTAGTTTAACATGTTTGACTGAACGTTTATAATAACAAATTTTATATTTTAAATTGTACGGGTATTTTTTTTACAGTTCAACAAAAAAATTTTTTTTCAAAAATTAAAAAATTATTTATTTTAAAATTTTAAAAATTATTTTTATAATACAATTTCCTGTTAATCAAATTCAATATACATATGTATGTATATTAAATAAATATAAACTTTAAAGGCAAGGAAAGCATAAATTTTAGGGACCTTATTCTGCATAATTGAATCTCAATTGAATACATTACACATACATATGTCGTGTACAACGTCCTCATACAAAGAAATGTTGAAAGGGAAAATTTAATGTTCTCGTATATTGATGTACATATATAATATATGTGCATAAATGCGTGAGTACATCAGACATTTTATAAAAACGTGATTTATTGCATTGAAAAGAATAATGATTTTAACAATTTTAATTACTTTTTAAATGTAATTTGAAATGTTGATTGAAAATGTATGAGATGCAGAAAAAATCTCTAAAACTTTAAAAATTTCAATTATTACGTAAGTTTTATTATAGTGAATTATCAAAGAACATCAATTTTAAGAAAAACTTCATTTTTGCAACAAACATGAATCATATATTTTGACAACAAATTGTCAAGATTTCCATATAAACTAATCTTATGTATTTTTAGGATGGCGATTTCTATTGTAAAATTATTGTCAGCCAAAAGTATAATTTACACATGAAATTATTTAGATATGAACATTTTCTTTTACTTCAAGTTAAAATAAGTTTAGTAATAAAGTGTTCCCGTGCTTGTATGCGTAAACATTATTACACGTAAAATTAGAACAATTGCCGAAGTGTTCCGAAATCTTATAAACAATATAAGAAATAATAGTATTTGACTGTTGGCAGAAAATTAGGAACACAACAGGAATTCGGAACACTCGTCCTAACAACAACAGAACCAAATTTCTCAAGCACTAATGTACATAATAATATGTGGGTAATGCGTCATACAATTATTTTAAAAATAAAATAATATATTATTGTTTTTTTTTTAAAACTTCACTTAAATTTTCATATAACGGGTAGAAAATTTTTCTATGTTGGTATTCTTTATAAAGTAAATTGAAATACATTAAAGTTAAAATTTTAAATTATAAGAAAACTAAATAATTTTCAAAAAAATACATAGGATTTAAAATAAATTTCTGTTTTAAAGTTGCAACAGTTTAATTATTTCAATGTAATATTTGTTAGCTTTTATATTTTCAATAAATTGTTTATGTTCATTATATTCGTAAAATGTATAATAAAAAATTTATTTATCTTAAAAATAGAAAAAAATATTCATATTTATAAAAATATTTGATACTATAATTAAATTGAAGAAAAAATTAAATATAATCTGTAAATTAATTACATAATACAAAATTAATATTGTAAATATAATTTTAACATATTAGAAATAAAATACTTAATATTAAATAATATTATTACTATCAAAAATATTAAATTCAAAGTTTTTATTTAAAAAGAATAGCCCACAAAATTCATCAAAATTTGATAACTTTTTCTTTTTATCACCAATAATTTCGAATTTTTGGTTTTTTAAATATTGTTTGATATTATCCCACAAGTATTCATATTTGATGAAAGCCTGAACGAGGCTGTTTTTGTTGCTACTAAGGGAATTTGCTTATAAAAATACTAGTTAAATATTTTGTTCGACTATTTACGTATATTATTATTGTATTTGGATACATGTACATACTTATGTATATTACAAAAAATCATATATATATATTAGGTTTGAAAACTTTAAATATTAGTTAATAATACTTTAATAAAGCATAATTATAATGAGGGTGTGTATTTGAAAAAATAAAATTAAAAAAAAAAAAACAATGTAAACAAAAAATAAAATTTGTACTGTGTAAATAAAAGACATAAAATGGGAATCGACCCTCGCAATTTTAAAAGAAAACGAACACAAAATAGAGAAATAAATAACGAAAATAAAAGTTAATAAATGTCTCAATAAATAACGTAAGATACAGGACTTGATTGTGTATCTCAACTTTTAAACTTTTTACTCACTGGGTGAGATAGAAGTGAATAAATATCAAATATTCCGTGTAATGTAATTTTTTGTAATAAAGAAATTTATCCTAATGCGTAATTTGTTTTTTACCACAAAAAATATCTAGTTTTGCCACGATCCTGTTATCTTGTCTGAAATTTTGACAAAAAATGAGAAAATCCAATCAAAAAAACGGAAGTTAACTAAAAAATCTGAGTGAAATAGAAGATACACAATCAATCTGATCACTTATTTTCTTTTATTATATTTTCATATTTCATATTCTCGTAAAATATTGTTTATAAAGAATCTGCTAAATTTTTATTTACTATATTTCACATTGATATCCATGAATCCAATCACAACTTGGTTTCTCTTACCATAATATTATAGATTCTTAAAAATTAAAAAACTTGTTGAGCAATATTTGCTTCTTTGTTTTTATTTTCAAAGAACAAAAATATTATTTTGTAAAAAGCTTGACTTATTTTTATTTTTTTGTTTAACAGGCAAAATCAACAGTAAATATTTCAATCGTACATATAAATATACTTATTAATAAGAAATCTCGTATTATAATTTTAAAATAAAAATTGTAATTTTAAATTTATTGTATGATGTATACTTTATCCATTTGTTTATATACTTATAACCAGTTAGAAATTACATATAAATATTAGTACTCTCTCTAATAAAATTTGTAAATTTTTTTTCAAAATTATGCAATATGACTTTTTAATTTATTTTTAGAAGTTAAAAGTAATGATTTTTCGTTTGAGAACTCAGTGTGATGAGGACATTTGAAAGTATATGAGAGCACACTTATATTATTTAAAATATATAACAGATGCAATATAAATAAATGACTATTCTAAAATGTTACTATTCTAAACTATTCTAAAATTCACTTCTGCGTTTTAGTTAAATTTTGATTCTAATTTAAGTTGAATTTTAAGTATAAAAATTATAGATTTTTTTTATTAAATCATTAAATATTAGATCAATAGGGAATATTATAAAAATGACAGCGGAAGAAAGAAAGAATTCAGGTAGAAGGGAAAGGAAGAGTATATTAACCAATTATAACGAATTACATATACTAAAGGAAAGAGCATATTTCGCTTACACTCCCTAAAAAATCGTATCTTTAAAAAAAAAACATAGTGAATCCACTTCAGGTAAGTCTCTTTCTTTGCTCCAAGCATCGTCAAATTGAAATTAACATTAAACGCCAAATGTTGTTTCTTCTCCTTAGAAAAGTACGCCGCGAAGATTTTGTTATTTTATTTACAAAATTAGTGCAGTTTGTAAAAAAAACATAACAAAATATTTAATAATAAGTGTTAAAAAAAGATTATTATTTTATAAAAACTTATAACAACAATATAACAAGTGAAAAAAAGAATAAAATTAGTTGAAAATCAAAAAATTTTTAGATCCAAATTGTTACTCCCATTTGTAAAAACAAATACTTTTGTTACAATAAAAGAAATTTAAAATAAAATTAAAAGAAATATTTATTCAATTAATTTACTTCAAATATTCAATGCTTTGATTAATTCATAATTTGTAATTTTATTAAGTGTTTACTTTTGCAAAGAAAACATTTGTTTTTGTTTTGTTTTAAATTAAAATTACTTCGGATGACTTAGTTTCACCAGGACCGGATTTTTTTTAGGAAAAATAAGTTTGTGTTTAATAGAATTTAGCATACAAACAAATATTTTAAATTGATCTGTTTTTTTTTGTATAATCACAGTTTTCTTAGAAATGGTGAAATGAGGAAATGAAATATATTTCCCTTTATAGAGCGAAATTTTGGTCAGCAAAAAAGTCTATGAAAACGTCCAGATGTCTTGGAATTCAGTAAGTAAAATAAAATATTAATGTTGAAAAAAATATATTTTTTTTAGTATGTGAAGCTCAATTAATGTATAAGCAAGAATACGGCAACATACCGTCTACTTCAGTGTGTAATAACCATGATATTAATTAAAATTTATTAAAAATTATAATGTCAAACAAAACTAATAAAATAAAAAAATTTTTAACAAAATATTTTATATTATGATGTTCGAGGGCAATAAAATACTGCGATATTAAAATATTTTTAGTTATTTGCAATTTATAAAATAAATTTATTCAAAGAGAAAAAAAAATTATGAGTTTTGTTTAAATTTGATTTTTTTTACATATATCTCAAATGAAAAATATTTTGAAATATTTTTTAGTTTTTACTTTAAAAAAAATTTTCAACTGATCTTACGAATAACAATATATTTTATAGTAGAGGCCAAACAAGAAAATAAAATAAATATGTATTACGGCTTTGACAATGCTCGGAGCAAAGAAAGAGACCACTAGAAAAAATTTGGCTCCGTTGTTTTTTAAGATGCTTCTTTCTTTAGTATTTCTAATTCATTCACCAATTATGTATTTTAGATATTCTTATTAATTTCGAGTAATTTCTAAAATAAAATCGTTATTTCAGAAACCAATATGTGCAATTTCGTGTAATCACTATAACTTCCACATTGCGATTACTCAAAATAACACTCAGTAAATAACAATGTTACTGAGTAGATGACAAATTTTTTAAAAATTTTATTTATTATTAAATTAATTACTAATCACTGAAAATTAATTTAATTTCCATCAAAAAAAAAACATTTTGCAATATTTAACGTTTTTGGAACATTTTTGAGTTTTTTATTTTCTAAAATTTCATGTTTAAACAGCTGTAATACGGAAACGAGTAGTCTGAGAATAAATGACTAACAATACATTGCTGAGTGACACAACAACAAATTTTTTTTCAACCCGAGGTAACTTGTTTCGAATTCTCCAAAAAAAAAAAATTACTTCGATCATTTTTCAAGTCGTTTCATGTTTTTCATTTGACATGTAAGCATTCTATGAAGTATTTTTCAGTCGTTTCAAAATAATTTGTAAGATAACAAAAACGTCATCCCAAAAAATTGGGAAATAAGAGCTGACATGTTTTTTTTTTATTCAATTACTTACTGCTTGATTGTAAATTCGTTGCGCAACTAAACTATTCCGCAAACTTAAATCGATTGCGTTACTAATAACGCACTATTCAATTACACTCGATCCCGTTCCCTGTGTGCGTTCTAAATTACATTTAGAAACATTTCACATCATAAATATAATTTCAAAAACCTCCGCTGGAAAAATTTTTTAAATTATAATCTTAACCTCATTCACAATGAGTACTATAATAAAAATTGATATTGTGAATGATATAACACAAACAAATAACAGCTGTTTTGTTTTTTTTATTAATTTATAACTATCCTAATTATGTAAATATAAATAAATTTTTCAAATTTAAGCCCAACTTTATTTGATTTCATTTGATTAAAAATTTAAAATGTATAATACACTCATACGGCATTTAAATTTTTTTAACAAAACTGGTAGATGTCTTAGGTACTTCTCTTGTCGAATCGAAAACGTAAAAGACTTGCAGGAAACTGATAATAAAATTAAAATAAAACACATAAGTTTAGATAAAGTAGGAAGTAACTTAACCGTAAAGGTAGCTATGAGCATTTATATTTTATATACTTTTTTTAAACAGATACTTCGCAAATTTTAGGGGTGGGTACAAAATATTCGCAAAATGAAAAAAGATATATTTTTTGATATTGATGACGGTTCAACATGTAAAAAGTTTCAAGTCATTATTCCCAAGTCGGAAAAGAAACTACATGTTGGCCAATCTATAGAAGCGCAGGGGTTACTGCAGATAAATCCCAAAAATGAACTGGAATTAAAAGCATCAAGTGTAAAAATTTTAGGAAATTGCAATATTTCGGACGGGGTTTATCCATTTACCCCAAAACAAGTTCCTGATCCTGAGTACGTAAGAAGTTACCTTCATATACGGACTCACGTTAATTTTATGAGATCAGTATTTCGGATTCGTCATCATTTTATCAAAATAATTCATGATTTCATGTATGAAAATGATTTTATTCAAATCAGTACACCGATTTTAACAACAAATGATTGTGAGGGAGGTGGAGAAGTACGTATTGTATATTGATTAAGGTTTTCAAGTCCTTTAAGAATATCGCAAAATCTTACAGATTTTTTTAGTTAAACCAAATTGTCGTACTTTATTAGAAAATATGAAAAAACAAGGAATACCAATTGAAGAAAGCTATTTTGACAAAAAAACTTTTCTATCAGTTTCTGGTCAACTTCATTTGGAGGCTATGTGTCATGGTCTAGGAGATACTTACACTTTAACGCCAGCTTTTAGAGCAGAAAATTCAAAATCACCGCTTCACTTATCTGAATTTTATATGTTTGAAGCAGAATTGGCATTTTGCGATCATATTGAGATCTTAACTAATTTTATTGAAAAAATGATAAAAACTGTTACAGAAAGACTTACTAGTATATGTGAAGAAGATATTCTAAATTGCAGGTCAGCTCTTGGTTTGAACAATATCAATGAGCAATTAAAATATTTAGAACAAGATTTTAAAATTATGGATTATAGCGAAACTTTGAGAATTTTGGCAGAGAACAGGGAAAAATTCAAAACAGAATTAGACCCAGAAGGAGGTTTGTCCAAAGAACAAGAATTATTGCTAGTCGAGCTTATGCAGAGTCCCATATTTATTATTAATTGGCCCAAAACAATGAAACCCTTTTACATGAGAATTGTAGACAATGATCCCTTCAAGGTATTGTGACATAAACTTGTAATTTAAGAATATCAAAAAGAAATTATTGAAATATGTATATTTTAAGGTATCTGGTGTGGATCTTTTAATGCCAAAAGTAGGTGAGTTGGTTGGAGGAAGCTTAAGAGAAAATGATTATGAAACCTTAAAAGAGCGCCTGCCTGTTGGCTTAGAATGGTATTTGGAATTAAGAAAATATGGAAGCATTCCAACAGGAGGATTCGGCTTGGGTCTCGAACGATTTTTACAACTTATAACTGGAATAAAAAATATTCGCGATGTTATTAATTTTCCAAGATATCCCCATAGTTGTAAAATGTAAATTGTACTTTAAAGTTGAGTGAAAATAATTTAATTTTAAAGTAATGTTTAGCACTAAGTTCAATTAGATATTGAAATAAAAATGTAAAGTAAAACTAGCTATTGTGTAGTAACTTCCTGTATAATAGCATAAAATATGCAAAAATTTCTCGCCAATCCTGATGTTCTGAAAAGGGTTTTACTATACAAAATTTCTTTTACCGTTATTTTTTGCACCATTACAAATCTACAGGAAATGAGTTGTTTACTTTTTTAGATTTTTCGTACCTTCATTTCTTAAATTTTTCTACGTGATTTTTTTCAAAATTTAAATTTTCGAGAATTCCCTTATTGCTCACAGTATTGCCCTTATTTTGGATAGTTTTAAGAAAGACGAATTCTCTTTTCTACGCACTCACATCCTTGATCGCATTTCCAACTGCTAAAAAAATGTTCAAGTTAATGTTCTTAAAAAAAGAATTGATTATATTTATCAATAAAGGACATAAAATCACTTTATTGTCTAAAAATTACCCAGTAAATACTGAGATATTGAATTAAATCATTGTAACAAATGATTTGCACAAAAAAGAGAATCTGCACACGTAAAGTAGCTCTTTCTAGTAAAAGTCAATATCCTCTACCATATTTTAAATAGAAATATCGTAGAGGATATTGATGATAAATATGAAATAGTTAAAACGTGTAATACAATTAATTGTTTACAAATTAGTTACTTAAGTTATATTTGATGGTTCATTTAAAATTTTCTCTCAAACTCGCAGTAAAAAAACATATCTAATATTTGCCAACTTCAGAAATGTTAATTCAGATTTTTAAATATCTACTACTAATCGTATTATACTTTATATTAGTATACCATATTTTGTGACTAAAGAAAACGAATTAATTTTTTTTTTTAAAATGTAGCTTTATTATATTGCAAAAATCATAAATTTCTTTGCTTAAATAAAATTTTAAGTTGTAGCAAAGTTAAAATATAAAAATAAAAAACTTAAACGCAAATAAATTTTTGTTTTACTTCAAATGATTTTATTGTTTTTTTTTACAAATTCAACCTTTAATTAAGAAAAGGTATTTCGTAAAAATTTTTATTATTTCGCATAAAATATTTTATCACAATTTCATGATTAAATGTAAATTAATCTGCTCTTTTTTTTAAAATTGAAAACTTACGGAAAACAACAATCTTAAATTTTTATATTGGTTTAAATAAAAAGGATATATTTCAAAATTTAGATTTAAAATGGGGTAAACCGATCCTAAAAATGCATAACTCAAGATATATACATATATTCAAATTTATACAAGATTTACTTTCAAATAAATTCATATCCAAAATTGAGCTACCAAATGTTTTTTTAATGTTATAGAAATTCGATTAAACTATTCAATTTCACTTTTAATAATTTACATAATGGAACATAATCCGGATGTCTCATAACCTTTTTCAAGTTTCTCTACAGTTTTAAATTCTACATTTTGCAATTCTGGTTTAACTTTAAATTCCATTTTTGGTGTCTCATTCTGATTTTCATCGTTTTTATTATTTTCAGTACTAGTTGGTTCAATGTCCGTTGTTGGAATACTTATTAAAGTAGTCGAGTTTGAAAGAAGACTCGACGTGGGAGTTGATGTATTTAATTTATTTAAAAGTGAAATTGTTTGATTACTATTACTAATACTACTACTACTACTGGTAATTTTATTATTATTATTACTTAGATTATTACTAATTACGTTGATTGAACTTGCGGCATTTGTTATTGTTGTTGTAGCTGTTGAACTTTGTGACATTGTTGATATATTATTATTATAAACACTGAACTCGCGCCTATTAAAATTTTGATTTGTTGTTATGACAGGAATTGTTGAAATTTGTGAATTTTGTTGCCTTTGTTGATGTTGCAATTCTATCTTATCAATTTTATTTGTATCTATTTCACTACTATTATTTTCATTTAAACTAACATTATTTAAATTAGAGTTATTACTAGAATTTACAATATTTTTAGTAATATTTATTTTAATTTTATTTACACCTATATTTTGGGATGGTACATTATTAATTCTAATATTACCATCTATTGATACATTTACAGAGGAAGACACATCATTGCCCAATGTAGTAATTGTATTGTTACTATCGCTCAATTCCTCCTCAACATCAAGGATTGGTGTCGTTATTAGAGGCGAATCTATAAGTTAATAAAAAATAATTAAAATTAAAAGAAATAAATAAATTTAAATTGATTTGGCAACATTGTAAATGTAAATTACCTATAGAATCGTTAATTATTTCTACTGTTCCGACATCTTCAAAAACATCATCTTCTTCGATAATCGCATCTTCGTCATCATCTTTTGGTTCCTCTTTTATTTTGATATTGGCAAATGAAGACTGAGTAGATTCTTCATTTAAATGACTCAAATCTTTTTCTACATAAGTATCCAAATCTTGAAAAGGAATTTGCGGTTCTTCTATAAGTATATCATCTTCCATAGAAATATTTCCTAAAACTTTATTTCCGGTATTAGGTACTGTTTCAGAAGAAGTAACAATTGATTCATTTGTTAATGGAACTTCAATTTGACTAGATTTTTCGCTTTCTGTAGAAGTTTGGTTATTTTTTTCTTTAGCAGAGTCTTCATTTACAGATACAATTATTTCATCATCGTCATCATCTGGAATCTCTGTGATACTTGGTTCTTCATTAGGTAAAACAATCACATCATCGTCGTCTTCTTCGATTTCAGACTGTTTTTTACCTACATCACCAAAAAAATTGCATTATTTAATAAATTATCAAAAATAATAGCAAAATAGTAATGTGCGTCTAATCGAATAGATTGGGATTAAGTATTTATATTATTACATTATAGTTCTTGATCAAATATATCGTATAAAGTAGCAAAATTTCCACACCAAAAGAAGATATTCCAAAATAAACGAGAGAACGTACAACGTAGTTACGAAAAAAATATTCTAATAAGAAGTGTTCTCATAAGGTAAAAGAATATTTAGCATTTCCAGGTTATGCTTTTCGAAAGCTACTTTCTTCATCAAAACTTGTTCTCAGCAATGTAATAAAGACATAATTTTCTCTAAAAAGAGCTAAAACGCGTAAATTCCAAAATGGTTTCATTGTTTTATTACATACAAAATACTAAAACAAACAGAAATGAAAATCGCAATATAAAATATAAATGTCTAAGAGCCTATATTATAATATCATACTAAAATCATCGTATTGATTGCACAAGTAACCAATTTCTGATTTAATTTTGAATTCATATGAAAATTTGGAATTTATTAGAAAACGACAATTCAAAATCACTGAATCTCTAATATATAACTTGCCATTTTTCAAACACTTTTATTTTGAATACACAGAAAGACTTTTCTACCAATACCAATAGAATTCTTACACTAAAAGAGATTACAATCCTGTGACAGGCATAAAAGTAGAGATACAAAAAAGAACACGTTTTAATTTTAGTCTGAACTGTAAGGACAAAGCATATGTACATTCAAAAAAGATTATTTTTTATGCGATTATTTTTTATAATTTTCAAAAAAAGGTTATTAAAGAATGTACTACCACCAATGTACATCAATTCTGCAGACGTTTTCGATGATCATCCAAGTTTGGTGAACGTAGACACATGTAACACTAGGGACAAGTGTAATTATAACACAAAACATAACATATAGGGATAGGTGTAGTTATAAATTTTCCAATTTTCAAATTTTAACAAATAAAAAAAGTTTACCATTTAAGGTTTAAAAAAAGAACTTCCAAGTTTCATACTAAAAAAATTATTATTATATCCCTACTCTGAAAATTGTTGACCGCATTGTACTAAATTTGAATATTATTGACTCATGCTTGTTTTCCTCTTAAATGTTTTTTCACACAAAGCATTTCGTAATACCATGAAATTTCTGTGGACTAACTGTTTGTCTTTTTCTTACACCAGTTATTGTTGCACTTGCCTTTCCACAATTTCTTAAATAAATTTAAAAACAAAAAATTTAACTTACCATTGTCCTCGAGTTTTTCCTGCTTTACCATTACGACGCTGTCATCGATTTCAATGCATTCTGTTTCTTCAATTTCTTTTTCTTCAGATTTTTCCTTTGCAACGCTAGACTCTTTTGCTTCCTTTGCAATAGCATCCTACAAATATTTATGTTAATAACTGTATTTGGCATGTTTAAATAAATTTTCAATGACACTTATTATTTATTTTTCATTTTATTTACCTGTAAGTCTTTGTAACATATAGGATGATAAAAAAGATCATCAACCTTGATAGCTGATTTCAAATGCCACTCTTCTAATTCTTCGTTATAGAAATGCTCAAATTTTTCTAAACAAATTTCACAGCCTCTATCAACATCATCTGACTCAGCGCGGCAACTGGGTTGTGGAGACGGACATTTTTGATTTGAATTCTCATCAGTTTCTAATTCGACTTGTTGGGTTTCAAACCAATTCTTTTCGCGATCTTCTAAATCCTCAATTTCTTCGTATTGCAACCAGTCACTGAGATCATAGTACCATTTTCTCGAATGAGCTTTCCGATTTGAATCTCTCTCACGTCGATTTTGTCTAAAGTGCCAATCCAAGTGTTGACTGTACTTCATTGTTTGCTCCGGAGGAAATCTCAGACCACAACTACTGCACTGCATTCCGCTAAATAATGTATTTACGACGCCAGCTTGGCGTGTTTTGATTGATTCAGACTTCTTTAAATCAATTGGAACAATTTTATTTGCCTCTTTCTCTTCTTCTTTTTTCGCTTCATCCGGTTTAGATTCTTTATTTAGAATTCCAGATGCTATTAACTTTTGAAACAGTTCATCTATGTTTAAAGGAGATGGCAAAACCGGTGCGGGAGTTGAATCAATTGCGGTAGTTTGTTCATTTGGCAGTGCTGTTTGGTTTGATATAGGAAAAGAATTTACTCCAGGAACTGTTTCTAATGATGTTGCCGTATTTGAATTTAAATTGATTAAAGCGGTTGAACTAAGAGCTGTTTCAGTTCCATGATTTGTTGTTTCTGTTACCTTCACTGAAATATCTAATGGCAAAGGGGCAGCCCCGATTGGTGGTAAATTGTGTGGTAAAGCTGCAATTGTTGTAGTTTTAACGTCAAGATCAGGTTTTATACTATCAACTGCAATTTCCTTTGATTTTACATGAATCATATTTTTTATATTAACTTTTCCAGGTAAAATGCCATTTGGCAATGTTGTAAAACGAATAAAATGCTTTTCGCCATTCATATCAAAACTTTTCGGTAAACCACCATATTCAACTTCAATTGGTTCGTTATCAATTAGAGCAGTAGATAGAGCGTCAGCAAACTGTATAACATGTTTTTTATTATACAATTCAAAACTTTGAACCCTGGAATCCAGAAAAACTGGGATAACAACATGCGCATCAATTACTAAATTTATTTTTCCAACTACTAAATCCTGCCTAATGGGACCAATGTGTACTTGAGGAGGTGGTCCCTCTATTTGCAACACGTGAAATTTTCCATCTAATGGGATAGTAAAAGGTGGTCCCCCGAAATAGCATTCATACCAATTAGCGTCTATATATAATTCTCTTGATGGAAAACCATATTTTATACGATGTATAGAACCTAAAAATTTTGGGAAAAAAGAACATTGTTTGATTTTTTCTAAACAAAAATTATTTTTACATCTACAACAGAATTTAATAAGGTCAGAACCGTAAGAAAGTTACATAAAAACAAACATGAATTTTAGTCTATTTTTTGTTCTTTGCAATAATTATTCAAAATGTTTAGAATTACACAAAGAAATACGATAAAATTACGGCAGACTGTCGTTTAATTAATTCAAGGAACTTAACGGTCTATTTACAAACTAAAATTTTTATTAAAAAATTTGCAATTAAAAAAAATATAGGTGTAATGGAAAAACATACCACTTATAGTTATATTTACGAAATCTTCGTTAAAATTTAATGCTATGGGATCCTGATTATCGATAATTATTCTTCGTTGACCATTCTGAAACCCTATTTCTCTTGGTTGATCCCAATCCATAAAAACGATAGCAACATCGTCATAAATTCTTATCTCTTTGGATACGCCATCAATAGGAATGGTACGTACTATATCATCTTGTGGATTATTAACTGAATTGCTAAATGCGGGACCAGAAATTGCGTTTCCGGGGTTAACTAAACTAGAATTATTGTTTAAATTTTGTACAGAAGCCGCAGCTATTGGTTGTATAGCATTACCACCAAAAATTATTGATGGTGGGTTTTGCCATTGATTGTGAGTTCCTTGCAAACCAGCCGTTGGAACTGGTGGTATAGCAAGCAATTTCGGTGGAAATGGAGGTGGTGGTATACCACCTGGTTGCTGTTGTTGCATCATCCAATTTTGCTGTTTTTGTTGCTGAATTTCCCAAGGTGTCATAGCTGACCATTTTGACTCTTTTCTCCTGCGACGCGTCGAAATATTTCCTGATGTGTCTTTGTCTTTTTCATCTGACTTTTCTAACGGTGAATTTTTATGTTTTGAAACAATATCTTTAAATTCTTGTGTTACTTCTGATTTTTTAGTTTCTAATGCTTTTGTATCAGAAGCAATTTGCTTTGAGTCTGTTGTTTTTGGTATTTTGGGAAGTTTCTTTCGCTGCTCTTTTGGAGATAAATTTGAAAGTTTTAATTTAGTATCATCATTTTTATTCTCTTTATCATTTTGTAACGTTAAAGATTCACGCCTTTGAGCTTCTTTCAATTTATTAGTTTCATTTATTTGCATTGCCGTTTTAACAAGCGTGTTATATTGATCGGAACTGATGCTTTTTGATTCAAGCAATTCTTGTGCCTGATTAATAATGGTGCGAATATTTTCAGAAGCACCATCTTGAGAATCTTCGTTAAATTCTTCAACAATAGGTTTTTTTATTGTTTTTTTAGTTCCCTTACCTTTAGAGAAAATTAAATTAACAACCTTTTCAAATTGATAATTAATGCAAGGTAGTAAAATGTATTTACCAAAAGAATAATTATTATTTTTAGCTGCTTTCGCTAATTTGGCTCGCACGTCATCTAGTGAAGATTTATTTGAAAATTTCTCCAATGAAGTAGATAGTGATGAGACTACTTGTTTTATACCCTGAAAATGTTCAAAAGAAATGGTTAACAAATTATGTAATGAATATCTATAGAAACTTTTACCTTTACTTTAGCCCAATTTTCACTTTCGTTAGATATTACTGGTGGTGGCGGTGGCGACACTTCAGGTGCAGGTAACTTTCTTAAATCAACATCTTCTGTTCCAAAAAGTCTAAAACCAACAAAATTAAATTTATACTCCGAAATCGATTTATTGAAAATTTTATAATTATTACTTACATGTCAATTTTTTCATCAATTTCCTCCACTTTGCTTTTTTTTACTATTGGTTCCCCTAACGAAAATTCATCACAAGATGGCCGTTTTTTAATCACATTAGGATGAATTTCAACCAAATTTTCTTGACCCATTTCATCAGACTTAGTAATTTTATCAATTATTTCATTATTATTAATCGGACTGATGTCAATATCCATTTTTGTTATATTTCTAAGATCAACATCTTTGCTCGAATTATGTAAAGGTACCGGTAGTCCATCATCTTTATCTGCTCATAATATAACACAAAAAATTTTTTTCATAGACAAAAAAAACAAATAAAAAACCAAAAAAATAATATTCAAATGAAGAAACGAACAAAAAAAAGTGTAAATTGAAAGAATCAAACATTTTTTTAAACATACAAAAACACACATTGAAAAATTTTTTTTTTCTTTTTTTCTTTGAATATATTTTACTTTTCATTTCTTGTGTTTTATTTTTTTTAACATAAAATTAAAAAATTACAATTAAGGTTAAAAAAAAAAAAGAATTTTTCATATTTCTTGCAAGTAGTACAGCACATCTAACCAAAACAGAACTTTTGCATATTTTTTTAAACAAATTCAGTTTAAAGACTTTTAATATGTTAAATTATTTAAAATAAAACAACAAGAATGTTTTTTTAATTTTTTATTGAATAATTGCTAAGTCATCATTTTTTTAAGGCCTCGGGCAGCTTTGTCGGCGATGTGCCATTTGGTTACAACTATGAAAAACTTTAAATTAGAACAGTTAATTTTTCGGATTTTCAATAAAGTTTCGCAAGACTTGAGGATAATTAACTCAAATATTTTTAGTGTTTCTGATTACTTGCTTTAATTTTTCTCTTACAATAATCATATCTGATTTTATTATCAATTACTTAAAAAGCGGTCAAAACACTAACTACATAAGAAAATAATATTGAACACTCTAATACTGATTTTAACTCTTCAGGAATAAATAATTTGAATAAATTTAAAAATAAACTATTGATAAATCAATTTTTATATTGCACCATTTTTCATAACCAATTTATTTCTAATGTAAATAAAGTTTTAAATGCATTTCATTATAAACAGTCGAAAAATTAAAATAAAAAAAAAAAGGTGCAAATTTTTTTTAGGAAACCTAGCAAGATGTTATTAATATAAATTTTATAATAATTTTTATAAATTAGTCATAAAAATTATACTTCTTAAAACAAACAACTTTTGGCAGTTGAATAGCAATATAAAAAAGTCTGTTAGAATGGTAATTCAGCTTTTCAACAAAAAAAAATTTTATTATCTAATATGTCTGTAATATTAATTGTTTTTTTTTTTATTTTTGCATAGTTAATATTATGTTAACAGTTAATTTTTTATTACATTAATATTATTTTACTTTATTATTTAATTTTTTCATTTGATTTTATTTTCTGTTTCATCTGTTTTTTTAACAATTTTTAATTCACAGCTACTTAATTTTTTTCTTTTATTTTTTTACGTTTTTCTTTTTTATTAACCGCACCATTTATTAAAAATATTGCAACTTTATGTTTTTTAATTTTTTTTAAAAATTTAAAAATTATTTATTATTTTTCTAAGAGTTTAGTGAATTGGAAAATTTGAATTAAACTTTCCTATAATATGAAATTATGTTATATTTACATATTAAACTTTTTTAATTTTAATTTTAAAAAACTGAAAGTTCTTCTCGAGTCATCAAATGCTTAACAGAGGTTCCATACCCCCTTATAATCAATACATCGTGCACATCTTAAAACTGTCCTTTACGTTACACTATAATCAGCTGCAAATCTAGGTAACACACAATTGCTTTCAAGATTGTTGAAAAGTTCTAAATATTACACTCTTAGATTAATTTTTGAGAAATGGAATTTAGCATTACATTTCTTAAATAAAAAAATTTTCAAATATAAAGTTTTGCTTTAAATTTTTCTGAATTTTTATATAAGTGTTGAAATAGTTGCAAAAATTGATTTAAAACGAAGTATGAGATTAAATAAAAAACTCTTGCCTAAATAAAACGAAGAAATTTTTTATTTATTTAGTTTCAAAGTACTGGCTTGAAATTAAATTTATTTAGAAAAGTTAAGGGATAGAATAATTACCAACAATTGTAATTTGAATAATTTTTTTTTTTCAAAGCAATAGAATTTAAGTGGAAAATCAGTTAGAAATATTCAATTTAAATATCTAATAAACTAATAATTTTGTAACTAATTAAATTGTAATAAAATTTATTCTTTATTAATTTCAAAACTAAATATAATTACTATTTTTCAGCTACAAAACTTATCACATGTTTAATGGAAAAATTCTTTAGAAATTGCGAATAATTTTTATAAAATATAAATAAAATATCGAAACAGCGATATTGCAAATTATACAGATAAATAGATATTTAAAGACAATCAATTTGTAAATAATTATTTTATTTCTTTTCAAATCTTAATATTTAAAAAAAAATTCTTTTTATTAGTGTATATCTGTTCTCCTCCATTTTTTGTTCACAAATCTGATTAAAATGTGATTATCATTACTTTTTTTAATGAAATAGCTTACCATTCGAAGAACTGCATTTGAATTCTTAATTTAATTTCTTTTTTTTTCATATTTTAAAAATTTCATTTTTAAAATTGAAATAAAAAAAGGTCTTAAAATAACTACTTGTCATTAAAATTTTTATCAAGTCACAAAACCGACGTTATAATATAAATAATTATAAAAACTTGCAGTGCCTGATAAATAGTTCAAAAGTATAAGACTAAAACAATCACCGCTAAGGATTCCGAAAACAAGTTTACATAGATACCAAATGTGCACTACTTGCTTTGGATAAGTAAATCTTATTAAATAAGTGTCCTTACTCTGCTCTAATTTTGGTATTTTAGGCAATTTCTCTTTTATTATATTTGAAGTGACGGTTGATGATGACGCTGTAGTTTCAGTACTTGCAGGTGAAGTACTAGTCGACATGGTTGTTGACAATGTGGTTGCTGTTGCATTTACTGTGCTTATTAATTTTATTTTTTTTTCCGGTTGCTCTTTTTCTAATTTTGCTTTTTCCTTACTTGGACTTGGACTTTTATTATGAAATTTAATTTCTTTAGCTTTAAGTTCTTTTAAAGGAGATGATTTATGATTTCCTGAATTTCTTGATGGAGATCGTTTTGTACTAACACGTTCGTTAAAGGATAACTCAACAACTTTAGGTGGTAATGGAACATCAGTTGTTAAGACTGCAGTATTAGTATCTTTAAGATATTTTTCATCTTTTGACTTCAATTTTTCGTCACTCAAGTCTTTCAGCTTTTTATCTAAAAATTTCTTATCTTTATCTTTATGACGATCTTTATCTTTTCTTTCACTTCTACTTAAAGGCAGACCTTTAGATTTTTCTGAATTCTTTAATCCCTTTTCTCTTGAAGTTGGTGAACGACGATCTTTATTAGACGTAGGTGCATCACTTTTTGGTCTTGATTTGTTACTATTCCGCTCATCAAAGCTTCGGCTCTCAGATTTCTTTTGCCCAGATGAAGTTGAGTCTTCGTCACTTCGTTTAACAGAATCAATCTTTTGTTGCAAAATGGGCGTTGATATAACGGATTCTGGAATATCATTACTTATATTGTGATCTTGTTGAATTTGTTGCTGCTGACGCGCCAAACGTGGATCTCTTCGACTTAAAGCGCTTAACATGGCAGAATTTACAGGAGCCACTCGAGGTTTGTTAGCTGAAGCGTTCGAAGCTGCAGGAAACATCTAGAATTATAAAAAATAGACGGTTAGGTGGAATTTATACATTTAGCAGTAAATTACATTTTGAGCTGGATTTTTTTTTATATTGCCTCTTATTTGATTAAATGGATAATTTTTATTAACGTGAACATTAATTTGTGGAGTCTGTAGAGAAATGGCTTTTTCTGTATTTATTCCACCGAGTGCTGTTGGTGCTGGTGGAGATATTAAAGAAGTTTCTGTAGTTCTTTCTGATTGCATCTTTTGTTCTTGAGCTTTTAAACACAATCTTGTTGCTTCTAGTTCCATTTCTAATTTTCGATTTTGAAGTTCTAATAATTCTCGTTGTTTTGCTAATAGTTTTGCCTGCATTTCAGACGAATCAGTACTCTAAACAGAATATTAAAAACAAATAGAGAATTAGCAAAATATTGTATTTAAAAACAAAAAAAAAGTGGCAAAAGTATTGTATTTGTTTTACGAATTAAGTAAAGAAAATCTGAATAACTTTTTATAGCAATATTGAGTAGTAGAAAACTAACAGTTTTCTTACTAAATAAATAATGATTAAAGCATGCATTAAAAATAAATATGTGACTAAAAAGGCTGAAATATTAACAATATTGAGTATTGAAGAATAAATGTATGGAAATATTTAAGAATAAATACCTCTTTTGCTAAAAATTTTGGATTAACGTGAATAGAAGGTGTTGGAACTTTTGCTGTAATTGGCCAATTTTGATCAATGCACTTCACTTTAACATCTAAAGTATATAATTTTTGTGGTGGAAATACTTCTACCCAAGTTTGACGCAGAGTATACATTTTTTCTCGAACGTTTTCTTTCACCTAAATTATAATCAATATTTTTTAATCCATTTTTAATATATCATTAAAATAAAAAATTGTATTACCTTATCGAAAACTCCCACGAAAATGTTTACAATACATTGGCTGAATAGCTGTATATATTGACCGCCAACATTCTTAACTATCGAATCAATTAAATAAAGAACTGGTAATTTTATATCCGGATTTACCTATTGTATGTTTCGAGAAAATGGATTACAGAAAGAAATAATTTTGTTTTCTTACATTAAAATTTTTCTCATAAATAAAATTTTTAATTTTGTTTCCTTATGAAAGCAATAAATTTTAAACTATTAATTAATAAAACAAAATGTTCTTTATTTTGCATTAATTTTTTAAATACTATGCATATTTATATGTAGAAAATTTTAAAAATTAACACAATATGCGTTATAAAAACTTTAGAATTATATTTATATTTTCAGAGAACCAAATTATATTTCTTCGGATCAAACCAGTATCAAATGATTTGTTTCAACTTCCTAAGTTTAGAATTTCAAGTCTTCCAAATATGGCCTTTACCTTTTCGACTAAGTTTCCTTTAGGGAAACTAAGAAATTTTTCTGACTACAATTCGTCATTTTGAAATGAAAAAAAATAATAAAAATAAATTCACCAATTTTCAAAATGTATTTGAAAAATGCTTTCCACACTAAAAGGTAAACATAGTTAATAGAACCAAGTTTTTTTTTCAAAGAAATTTTAGGGTTATTCTACATACCTACATCATAGAAAATTTTATGGTAAATTGAATGTTCTAAATTACATAACTCTTAATATAATTTACTTTTAAGGTAAGTAAAACTTCAGCAGGTACATATTTAATAAAAAATTTAAGCTGAAAGTTATTATGCTTTTGTAAAATGCTTAATAGAAACATATGTAAAAACAAACAATTTGATTTTTATAAATTTTGCAAGACAAAAATCCGAAATTTTTTTGCATAGCATGTGACCATAAAATATACCCTCTAAGAAGTATAACATGATGCGAAAGAATATTATTCAATAATACAATGAATTTAGCATATAATATCAAAATGCAATATTTATTTTATTCTGGAAAATGCAAAATGTTTAAATAGCCAATAACTTCATGTGAAGTGTGTAAAAAATACGGTAACAATTTATACCTGTATCGTATAGCATGTGTGAACCACTTTTTTATATTTTATTGATTCATTCAAAGAATCTTTCTACATTATACATATATCTACTTATGATTTAGCAATTTATTTTTGTAATAAAACTAATAAAGTAACATTTTAATAATTGACATAACAGAAGCTTCGAGTTGGGAAACCTTAATTTTTCGTTTATAGATAATTTCTACAAATTACTATTATTTTTTTTAACTTTAAGAAATTGTAACAAAATTAACTGAGTTTCGTTAATTCAACATTTATTTTAAAAGAATATATAATATTTTTAATAAAAACCTTTGCGATATGTTGTTCAACGACTTTTACAATAACTTCCGCATGTTCAATATTTTCTTCTGCCAATATTGTTAACATATTAATTAATGGCTTGCTATTAACATTTAAATCGGCCAAGCTCGAAAGATATTCCTCGGCAATCTTTTGTTTCATAGCATTAACGTCGATTTCTGAATTATCCATCTCCTTTTCCAATAATTTAATTTTTATAAATTTTACAAGGGTAGCGATTATAAGTGTCCGTAATATCTAGTTATTTACACACAATCCTTAACACTAAAAAAAAATTTAATATAGTAAATTAATTTTTTGAATATTTTATTTTGATTTAACAGAAGAAATTAGGTATGTATTTATATTGATTTTTTTTCGTTATTAAAAATAATTTTTTGAACAAATTAGGCCAGGCACCATTAATTTTATACAAATACAAATTGTTCATTATAAGGCATTCTTTTTTCAAAAATAATTAATATCTCCCGGATAAATAACAATAATTAAAAGGTATCGAGAACTAAAATTAAAATTTTAGAGCAAAGCAAAGTTTTGTTTTGCTTTTAAGATTTACAAATACAATTTTTTTCTTACATATAAATTTTAAATGAAAACGGGAACTTCCATTTCTATGCATACGTATTTTTTGAAGCCACATTCTAATATACACATATGTACATACATACCCAATTGAAATTATAAAAAATAATTATTTTGCCAATTTTATAAACAAATATTTGTTATTACTTTACTGGTAAAGCTATGAAATCAATATTAAAAATGACTCAGACGAAACCAATCGTTCAAACAAACTATTATGTGGCAAAGCTACGTATAAATTTATATTGTACTGGATATGAACATTTACACAACTGTAACATAAATACATACATACATACATACATACACATATCCATACACACATATATACATACATTCATACATAAGTGATGTGGTGTAGCCACAATTTACGTACACACATACGTGGGAACATAAATTATTTATGATAATTCACTTTTTTTTTATTTCCAAGTTAATTCAATTCATTTCATAATAATTTTAATATTTATTCAAAATATATAATGTAAAAATTATTTTTAATCCAGAATTTTATTTTTGATATACATATATACTTGTGTATGTACATATATTACTAATTTTTTTTTTCAAAATGTCTGCCTTTTCACCAAGTACCAATTATATTTTAACTTTAACGAAATCTCACCTCCATCGTAAAATTTCTATCAAAATGTACAATATTTCCTTTTATAACAAATTAATAGTAAAAAGGAATCTAATAAATTTTAAGAATTTTTATTTAAAATTATTAAAAGGTAAAATATGAAATCTCTTATTTTTTTCACTAATTTTTCCAAGTTTTTCCAAGACTAAGCTTGGCTTCTTGAAATAACTTCAAAAGCAAATTATTGACAGCTAGTCAGGGTTGAAATTTCTAATAAATTATCTAAAAAATCAACTGACGATGTGTTCAGTAAATTTTTTCAAATATTGATTCACAAAGTTGTATAGATCATTTCAAAGAATTTTTCAGATTACGTTTCAGGTGACATATTCCAACATTATTAAACTAAATCATGATGGTCAATCTTAGATTGGCATGTAAACACTAACTAAGACAACGTCTAACGAATTTGAGTAATAAAATGATTGAATTATAATATAATTGATATTTTAACAAATAACCTCTTAAAATATATTGATGATTAAAACTTCGCTGCTAATTAATTAAATTTTAGACCTGCAAAAAATTTCATTTATAGCGTGGCGTGTATTTGAAAAAACAAGATTCTTAAAGAACAAGTGGAAAGAAATGCAAAAGCAGTTTGTCAAATTACTCAAATTATTTTTCATTTATATATATTAATACTAATAAATTTTTACAATGACGTTGATATATTTTTATTATTTTTTTGCTCAACGTCTGGCGCTTCTTTAAAATTTTTTGCACCCGTATTGTCAATCTCACTCGTAGAATTCTACGATTTTCAAACTAAGTAACGCACGTAGAGTTTCGAGTAACTATATATCTCACTCGTAGAGATTGTGAATCGGCAATGGCAACGTTATTTTTCGGAGTGTCAAAATCGTTATTTCATTTCAGCTGTCAAGTGATAACATTTAGATTTTTCAAATTTCATAGTAGAATTTCAAAATATAATAGACATTTCCAAAAAAAATAGACAATAAAAAAAAAGTGTAATTAAAATGAACTCGTTTTCATTCAAGAAAATCTTCAAGAAAATTTTAATATAGTATATGTAAATAAAATAAATGCTGCTACTAAATACTTGCATTTCCCTCTTTTACATAAAAAAATTTAACAAATAAATTAAAATCTAAAAAAATTAACATACCACTCTTGAATATGTACTGGCTTTCTACGTTTGAAAATTTCGTTAGTAGAATTTTGACATTTATATTTATTATGAGTGTGATTCATAATTACTCTATTACATTCACATTACCCTATTTCTTAATACATTTCTACTACTTCCGAGTTTCAGAATTCACAATATGATATTCGTAATTTCTTCGAATTTCTACGAGTGAAATTATTAATGTTGATGTTTTTTGAGAACATTTTTTACCAAAGTATATTTATTAATAAGTAGTTCAACTCTGCGTTTACATCACACTAATGCAATCATTCACCAATATTTCTATACAAAAAATTCCCTTAGCTAAAAAAGTAAAGCAGTATACCTTCCTATTTCTCCTTCGATGGGATCCCACTTTGCCGTGGTGAAGAAGCTGAAGTAGGATCAATGATCTTGAGAGCGATGTCGACGGATACCACGACTCTGTGGCGTCTGGCACAAAAACTAAGACAATCTCCTGGGCATGAAGTAACGGCGCAAGCTTACCTTCAATAAGTCCACCCATCCAATCCAATGGTGTTATACGATCCGTGTCTAGTGGACTAGTTGGTAGCCGGGAGCATACTGACTACCGCGAAGAGAGCCTCTCTGATACCAGCTAACCTCAGAAAGTATTTTAACCTTACCACGTCATGCGGGGCTCTGGCGTAGCGGACTACCCTTTCTCTAACTACTCGTGAGACCACAACATGAATAAGGCTCAAGAAACAAAAACAAAAAGAGGAAAATCGACACGACGGGAAAAAACCGTCATGGCCCGGGAGCAACCGGACAAAACAAAAAGGAGAAGGTTGCAAGGGAAATGGAGACTAATCTCCGTGATACCCCTTGCAATAACGAGAAAGGAAGGGATGGTATGGAGGAAAGTCGGAGCAAGCCTTCTGCATCCTCGCAGGCTGTCGGAAAGCAAGCCTTCCGGGATGCACCGTGGGGGTAGAAGGAGGAAGCCCTCCTATCTGCTATCACTGGGTCAACCTAGAGGCTTGGATGATCCGCGGAGGCGAGGACTCAGCGGTGCAGATGTTAGATGGTACTTGTGCTTCCTGGAGCGGCGAAAATCACCTGATGAGGCCAGGAAACTGGCGAAAGAAAAGAATAGGCCTATTAGGGACGTACCTCCACTGGCTCAGGGGGCAAGCGCGGACGAGAGTCCTTTACATTCCAAGAAGAGTAGGCCAAAAGAAGGAAGACGGCTAAATGAAGGAATATGGGAATGCACCCCATACCCTCCACCTCGAAAACGGAGCCGGGCACTAGCTATGCCGCGGCTACCAAACTTGTGAAGGTGGCAGTTTGGAGAGAATACCCCTTCATAATGCTGACTCAGCTGAAACTCAGCCTGGGATGGTACTCGTCGATTGTGCAGATGAGGAGACAGCGGAATGGCTGATCAAGCGGGCGCCAGTTCTGGGTACATGGAGCGGACCGGAATTGATAGCAAAGAAAGGTGATGACATCTCTAAGCCTTGCGTAATTACCGTCTTCGTCGCCAGGAGGGGGGCCAAGACTGGGAGAAAACGCTGGCCATCTCCCAGGCCTAAAACGAGGGAATACACACCCGGGTCTGGAAGCTGATATGGCAGGTTCTCCGATAGAGATCGATGACTCTTCCGCGCAAGCCTTCAGGCGGGCGGTCACATTCGGGCTCACACTGTACTCGGGCTCAGAATGGGGCAGTCCGAAAGAACGGAGTTGGTGGAATCCTTGGCGGTTGGAGCAGCTTCGGCTGTTCTGGCAAGGATGTTCACCAAGGAACATCTGGCTATGATACAGAAGCATCCCCTCTACCGCCGGAGGTACAGAGGCTAGTGGAGCAGTGCAATAGGAAAAGATGGCCACCCATCATGGACTGTGATGCGAATGCGCATCACGTTGCATGGTGAAGGAGCCACAGCAACACTAGAGGTGAGTCTTTATTAGAATTTGTAGTTAAAGAAAACCTAGAAATATTTAATGTAGGGAATGCCCCAATTTTTATAACTAGGGTTAGAGAGGAGGTACACGATATCACATTCGGCAGTCCGAATGTGGGGTTTCTGGTACACGTCCGGAAGGTGTCAGGGGAGATTTCTATGTCAGATCATTGAATCATCCGGCTTTGTCTGGGTGGGTCGATGGAGGAGACAAAATACAGAAGGGACAAAAATGTCGACAGCCTCGGTTAGAACTTTGTCAGGCATGCCCAGGTGTTGAAAAGGGCTGTGGAGGAGCTCGGAGGAATTGTGGTCGAAGCTTTTGAATCGAACTGCCCCATTGGAGTTCCAAGGAATTTCACAGATGCACCTTGGTGGACCCCGCGATTGGAAAATCTGAGGGTCGGGGTTCGCAGGCTTTTGAATAGGGCTAAGCGAGAAGGTACTTGGGAAGAGTACAAGATGAATTTAACAGCCTACAGTAAGGAAATCTGCAGGGCTAAGCTCAAAAGCTTTAGATCATTTTCGGGAGCATAGCGGAGACGCCAGCGGCTGCGAGGCTCCATAAGGCCCTGGCTAGAGACAGGGTGCCAGTGACTGCCTTTTTAAGGAGGCGGCTACACGGAGAACGAGGAGTAAAGGGCTCTTCCCCTCATGGAGGTGCATTTCCCCGGCAGTACTCCGTATGTCGGATCCGTTGCGTGGGTATGCAGAACACCACGTCCGCAGAGGGCTGCACATATAATTATGGAGGAAAGGTGTTAAGACTTTCCAGCCCTTCAAGGCGTCGGGAGTGGATGGGATTTCGCCAGCACTTCTGCAACGGGGGCTGGAGAAAATTATGCCTTTCTTAATAAGAATGTTTAGGAGTAGCTTGGCTCTCGGATACATTCGCGAGTCCCGGGAGGGTGGCTAGGGTTGTCTTTATTCCCGAAGTGGGAAAAAGGAACATGGTGCCCAAGTCAAGACCGATTAGCCTCACATCGTTCTTATTGAAGACGATGGAGAAAATAGTTGATAATTATATCCGGGCGGGAGTATGTTGGCTACGAGAGTTGCAGAGACTGCTGTGGAGTAGAGCTCCCTAGGAATGGGCGTTGCCAGGGGTTACCCACAGGGTGTGGTTCTGTCTCCGCTAATGTGGAGTTTGGTGGTGGATGGGCTCCTTGATGAGCTGCTTCGTCAAGGAATTGGTTCAGGCTTATGCCAATGATATTGTCATCATCGCCAGAGGTACGTTTGAGGGAACTCTTTGTGATATAGTCCAAAGGGGATTACGGGCGACCCGGGCCTGGTGCAATGCTGTGATCCTCAGGCTTTACCCTAACAAGACGGCCCAAGAGAAGAAGGTGGAGCATTTGCGCACAATCCACGTGTGCGCGGCTGTAAAGAGAAAATCGGAAGTCAAATACCTAGGTGTGGTATGCAATAGAGGCGATTTTGGGACTAATCTCTTTGCACCTCGTTGTGGAGATGGCAGCGAAGGCTGCCATTTTCAGGTTGGTGAGAAATGAGCCGGAGTAATCGGAGTGAGAGATCGAGGTCGTCTTGTCGGGGAGGTTCCGCTCCTATCGATGCCTCAGGACGACATAGTAAGGAAGTACAGCTTCGAGAAAAATTTTGCCTCGTTGCTGAGTAACAAAAAGGACTAGGAGCGTGACTTTTCAGGTCAACTAGTGGAAACACACGTTATCAGATGGTACGCGGATGGGTAAAAGACCACTATTGGGACGGGTGCGGGGGTATTTGGGTCAAGAATTCTCCGAATCTATGAGAACTTTTCCGAGTGCCTTTCAGGCTGAGTTGCACGCCATTGAAATGTGCTTGCGGTTCAGCCTGGAAAGTGGGTATCGGGAACAGGAGATAATGATTATGTCGGATAGCGCGGTTGCGATCGGAGCGCTGAACTCGTTTTCAGTATCCTCGGCGGCAGTATGGGGCTGTCTTGAGAAGCTCAATGAGTTGGGCAGATGCAACCGGGTCATACTGTGTTGGGTGCCGGGCCATGTGGGCGTGGAAGGAAATGAGGCCGTTGATGCAAGCACATACTATTCGTTGGAAATTAAGGAAGGAGTCAGAAAGAAGGCGGTCGGAGCGCTTGAGAAGTTTTGGACTGCGGCAAGCCAAGGGACTCCTTCGAGATTATGATCAGGAGTGATTTAAGAAAATTATAGGGATGGGGAAGAACCAGGTGAGAGTCCTCACCGGCATTTGGACGGGTCACTGCAGGCTTAGATGACACCTCAGTCGGCTGAGCCTGGAAAATGAGGATATTTGCAGATTCGGTGGGGAGTATGGAGAGACTTCAGTGCACATCCTGGATGCTCTTTCTCATAGGAGGGAGGAGGTGCTGGGGGGCTTTGTTCTAACGGGGGCAGAGTTACGGTCTTCTGGTCTTCACAATTTACTTGAGTTCATCAGGAGGGTGGGTCTCGAGCGTGTGTTGTAGGGTATGGCTCGCCCTCGGATGGGGGCGCACAATAGATCCTTATACGTGGTCGCGGTGCACTGCTGCCCCCGTTGTACAGATCTACAAATCTACCTTCTTATTTTCATTTTTATGTACATAAGAATTTTTCGGAGAGAAAAAAAAGTACGCAATAGATATCTACCTGTTTTTTGTAATATATTTTAAAAGCGGGAGTTATTTATTTTTTTGTATATAAAGTATAGGAAAAAATATTAAGAATTTTAAAAGCGGGTGTTTGTTTTCTGTAACTTATTCCAATACAAGGTGGCAGAAATTGTGTATTAATATAATAAAAGTGAAGCGATTTAAAAACAAAATTTGACTATTCAAATAAAAAAAATTATAATTTACATATGATATGTATAAATTAGAAAAAGACAAAAAAAAACGTAAAATTTGTAACTAATAATTGTCATTACATTTATTGTAATATAAACTATGAATTTTTTATTTCAATTTTGTTTTAAAAATTTAAAACAAAATTGAAATAAAAATTAGCTTGAAGCAGCATATAAATCACAATTAGCTTGAAGCAGCCATATAAACGGGGTACATACATATACCTTGAACAGGTATGTACCGTATAACAAAGTATGAAATTTTATAACTATTACTTTCATACATTCGAATGTTTTTACCTAACTTTTATGAAATGAAAAATAAAATATGAAAAAAAAAATTTTTTATCAAAATAAAAATAACAAAATTTTTACCTAACTTAATTTTATTTCAGTTCAATCCTTTTGATACACTCGTTTGTTTACAATATTTTGTTTCTTTCTTGCCTACACAACTCTTATTACCATCTATTTCTAAGTAAAAATGGAATATTTTAAGAATTTGGAAACAAAATGCAAACGAAAACTAACGGAATGGAACGAATCGAATTACTTATTAATAGAAAGTATATCTATATATACTTTATAATAGAAAGTAAATAGATATACTTTGATTTTTTTACGAAACAAAGAGTCCTTTTCAGCTGGGTGCTAAGCGTAAGTCCTTTTTGTATTCAATTATTAATATCCAGTTAAACAAAACAAGATCTTCATCGAAATTTTATATATGTAATTACTGTAAACATTGGCAAAGAAGCAATCAGTGCTATGTAATGTAATGTAGATATAAGTTTGATTGAATGGCATCTGCGCTTTGTTCAACAGCTGCAAATTATAATTAAAAAACAAAACCTTATGTTTTCCATTTAGTATGTGATTAAATCAAGCTCGAGTCTTGTAAAAACTTTTGTTTTAATATTTCCTTTTCTCGCAAAAAAAAAAATTTTTGTTAAACCACATTAAAAGAGAGGTTACAAGAAATTAGAACTCAATTCGGTAAATTTTAATCGTTTTCCAGGAAATTTAAAGATTTCCGATTTACAGCACTGTTCAGTATAGATATAGTTAATTCTTTGCTTGAATATTAAAAAATTACCTACCAGTTAAATTTTAATTCTTTGCGTAATGGGAATTTTTCGTTCTCTTATAGAGCTGAATATGCACTTCATTTAAAAACAAAACCCGTATTAAAAGTTTACACTTTATGTAAATGAAATAAAGAATAGATGCCACATACCACTTTTATTAAAAAGTAATAAGGCTATGATGGTTAATGAATTTACCTTTACCTCGTTTATATGGCTGCGGGAGGATTTGGCTTTAAACGTAGCTCGAAACTCAAGCTACGTTTTTACTACTACTGTGTATATAATCATCTTGAAGACGACTGCAAGCGGATTTTGAGCCAATATAAACGCTATTTGACTTGAATTTTTCAAGTGAAGTCGATCCGATAAATTTACTTGCTTAAAGCTTTGCTTGGAAATCGGCTGCATACACGCGGATTCAAATATTGAAAATTGTAAGTTAAATAATATACATATAATGTAGTTTTAATGTCAATTTCACATTTGTTAATAATACAAGTATTATTATTTCAATCTGTAGAGCAGCGCTATCTAATTTTTAGATACTCAAGAGCCTGAAATATTTCGAAGGCCAAAGAAATTTAAATTTTATAAGTCCAAACAACTCACCTTTATCAAGTAACAAAAAAGAAAAACAATTAAAAGCAAATTATGTTTACTTAAAATCAAATTTTATTAAAAAAAAACATAGTAATACCTAACTATTACATTTCAATTCAAGTAAACAAAATATTTTGATTGACTTGAGTGAACCGGCTTCAAGTGGAGTAACATTTATACAGATACTAAAAAGGTTTCAAGTACGGTCATATAAATTGGGTTATAGTAGTTAAATTGAATTAAATTAAATTCCGTTGTTAACCCAGAACAACAGACGCACGGCAAAATCAGCTCTTCGCTATTTTTTATATAATATAAAAAAAATTAAATAAAACAAAGAATTAGAAATAAAATTCATGGATATCAATATCACACACACATGATGTCCAAAAAACGGTAGTAGAAAAATAGGATTATAGGCTATTTTACTGCCGGTGGTTAAATTCGCGACGATAATTTCACTTGATTCTGGACAGTAATATTTAAATATGTGTATTCTCTATACGAATTTTGACATTTTGCCACGGGAAATGCCTCTAGTTCTATTTTCAACTTTTAAGTGAGATTCATTGTTTTTAACTGAATATTTAACAGAAAAAAAATAGAAGAGGAGAGCAATCTGTCTAATTAATTTTGGATTTATTTTTAAGAAAATTAAGAATTTTTTATTTTAATAAATTAAATATTTGCATTTTGCCTCAATGAGTTTTGTTTTTTGAATTTCCATATTTCCTTTAATAAAGACAACAAATCAAATAATATTTTGCCGTGAATAGGATAATATTAAATACTGCTTTCTAAAAATAAAAGCAGTCTTATTTTTCTCGAGTATTCCTTAAGAAATTTTTGACATTTGTTACATCAAGGGTTTACTGTCAGGACGAGTAAAACACCATTGAATTTTTCGTTTTATTTTTGTTTTACTAAAACATTAACTAGTGAAAATTTAGTAAAGAGTGTTCAAAAAGTTAGCATTTTAAAATGTTGCTAGTAAAAATTACATAATATTAAAATTTTAACTTATTTTTCCATATTAAATAAGTTATACATTTTTGCAATTGCAATTAGTATAATAATTAGAACTGAATAAGTTCACTTATCTAGTTTTGAATGTTTCTAAACGAGCGTTTCACTTATATGCAAATAACCAACATGAACATTTAAATATGAAATGTAGAAATGAATATGTGCAGATGTTTCATATTCAACTTGAAACAAAACGGTAAAAATAGGATATATTTTCATTTCAAAAGTGTATATTTCATTTCATGTCTATATTTCAGTGTCTTCTTAGAAAATATTCTTATGATCCCGAGAAGTGAATAACTGTTGAAATCTAATTTTTTAGAAAAATTTTTGGAACAATTCGTTAGTTATAATGTTCTTCAAGGATTTATTTTTAAAACTAATTGACATATAGTTTTCAGTGTTGCCAGATTGGGCTACTTGTAGCCTATTGGGCTACTTTTTTCTTGATTTGGCTATCAAAATTCTGAAATTGGCTACTTTTTAATTTGGGGCTACTTTTATTATAAACTTTTGTTTGAAGTTTGATTTTTTATAAAATTTATTACAACTTTTAAAATAATTTATTTTGTTTTCTATTAAATTCATTTATTGTTATCTTTCTATGAAAATATTTTATCAACATTCAGATAAACACACATATTTCAGAATTAGAATCAGAATTGCCACCACAATACACCAAAATGTTTCCTGTAATAATTTTGTGCCCACACAAAAAATGTTGAATTCATGTGTGTTTATCTGAATGTTGATAAAATATTTTCATAGAATTAATTCTAAAATATATCAAAAAGCGGAAGAGACTGAAGCCTTATGTGATTTAATTATGGAATTAAATAATAATATTAATATATATAACTAAACTAAAAGTTAGTTTAAGAATTTTTTTTTCAAGTTTGTGGAAATTTTTAATTTATAAATGTTTAATTACAAAATGTTACAAATGAATTTCTTGTTCTCAATTAATTTGTGATTTTTATTATACAATTTGCTGTAATAAAATTTTTATTTAAAAAAAATTAACTTTGTTTATAATAAGAACAAAAAAAAAAGAAAGAAAATTTTAATTTATTTTAAATATTTGCAAATATTTACTATTTTGGGCTACTTTTTTTGAAATTTGGGCTACTTGACTCGCCAAAAGTCTGGCAACCCTGATAGTTTTATGTCATTCAAAATTTTAACACAGGGATGCTCTGTACCTATTATTGTTTTGATTTCATGGATATGGATGATTTCAGAGCATTTCTACATTAAATCTAACGCAAATGTGAATAATGAGAACAGAACAATTCTATAAAATACCTGCCAATTTTTGAACTATAAGTAAAATAATCCCTAAGGTTAGATGTAAACATAATAAATAATTTACTTTACAATATCGTTTGAATTAGTTTAGTGTTTTATTCGATGATTTTATCAAAAATTAAAGCAATATAACCAGTTAGGTAAAATAAACTTACGTATAGCAGGATATTAAAGATCGCATAATTCAATTAGAAAAACTTAAGTACATCATAAAAATGGAAGAGGGTTTGACTTTTAAAAATTCAGCAGATGAGGTAAGTAGAATATTCATAGATTAAGATAAGCAGTTCATATTTATCTGTTTCATGCAAACGAGTTTGTAGACTGTTTTAGGAAACCTGATAAACAATATACCAATTGTTAATTTACCAACTCTCATTAGAGCTGCAAAAGTTAGCCCTTTAATTAAAGATGGTAGAACGATTGGACCTAATGATGTAACATCTTCTTTAACTTCTTCTGACAATGAAAAAGAAAAAATATTAGCAAAAGAAATAAAACAAAAAAAAACAATTAATAACGAACCTCAATCGAAATCTAGAATCAATTTATCATCAAAAAGTGATTTACTTGATATAAATATAATCAGTAATAGTATTGCGGCGAAAGTAACCGAAAGAACAAGAAAAGAAAACATTAAGAAGGAGCTGGAGCAGAGGTTGAATGTTATAACGATTGAAAACAAAAAAAGGCAAGAATTAATTGAAAAGTCCGAAAAAGTACGAAGTGATTGGATACAAAACAAAATAGAGAGTGATAAGGAAATTTATAAAATTGCTGAAGAATATATTGAAAACGAAATAAGACAGGATAATAAAAAACTTGAAAAAATTTTAAATGAAAAGCAACGACGCCTTCAAAAAATTGCCCTAGAAGCAATTGTCCAAAGAAGAAAAAAATTTACTTCGCATTATGAAAAAGTGTGTCAATCACTTAAACTAGAGAAAAATCTTGTAGATTGTGAAGAATATAATAAAAACTTAAAAGATTTGGCGACTGATTTTGAAAAGCTAATACAAAAAATTAAGAGCAATAATATGGGACAACCGGAGATTCTTGCAGCGGAGAGTCTTTGTAGTAGAATTGAAAATTTGGAAGCAAAACTTTATAATGATATAAGTAAGAGAAAACAGCCAACTGGGACACCCGATGGAGTCCTATTACAAAAGAATTGTCATAATTTAGAATCTTCACAATATTCTTCACACTCTCCAATACAATCCACACAACGTGAATCCTCAATTAACACTTCTGACGTTCCAGATAGTTCCGAAGCACCATTCTTGCTTATTAGTTTGGAAACTTGGAATGTTTACTCTGGTATTATTACTTATTTCAATGATAAAGTAAAAGCTCTTGCACCGTTAGAAAATGATCCAAACATGAAAAAATTCTTAGCAGCATGTAGAAGGAAAATTAACATTCCCGTTGCTGCAATATGTGCTGTTTCGCCACAACATATGCAAGTAAAAATTTAATATTGTCTCATTGTAATGCCATTACAGCGTTACTTATTTTAGGATAAATTCGACAAGTTAATGAGCTTCATTTTGGGAAGTACTAAAAAACAAACCGCAACAGATGTACATGTTTCTGAACATCCTCTTGCTGCAGATTACTGTATTAGATATTTAGCCAAAAAATTTATTGATGTGGCTGGAACTGAAATTTCTTCAAATTCTCAAGCTGCTTTTCCTTTTGCATCGATAATTATTGCTATTTGGAATCGTATCCCCGATTTTGGAAAAATGTTTATCGGCCAAATGTATACAGAATCAGTATTCCTAGTACCATTTTTATTCTCAAGATCGAATTTTTTAAATGACGTTCATTATAAATTGTGAGTTTTATAATAAATTTTCATGAAATCATTGATTATTAATTTTTTTAGAGCTTATGGGTATTACGTTACTGAAAATGCATCAGCTTTGGAAGATTTCAGCGCATATAATAAGAGACAGGCTGGAATTGTTAGACTATTTGCTGCTATCATGGTATCGCACGGTAAACGCGGAGATATGATTCACCCGTTCCCTATCGAAAATGGTTGGAAGTGGCTAAGTAATTTAATTAATATTAAACCGGAGATGCACGACGTTATAGCAACAATTATTGTTGAATTTTTACAAATAGCAGCTTTTGAAATGCTTTCACTGTATGGAAAGCAATTTAAAAAGTTATTAGTGCTTATTCAAGAAAAATATTTACCGAAATTAAACGAAGTATGTTAAAGATTTATGCAGTACATCCAAAAATATAGTATATATTTTTTCGTTTTTAGATTGAAGATGGAAAAGCTGCATCAAAAGGAAAGTTGGAACAGACATTGGATTTAATTTTAAAATTCAATCGTATCGAAAAACCACAAGGTGTAGTTCCAAAAGATTTCTGGTAATATTTTATTAAGGAAAATTCATGCTTAGAATTAACAAAGAGCTGTTGACGTAAATAAATATTTGGAGGACTTTCTTTAATTGAAATCATATATTTTTATTTTAATTTTTGAAATACACTTTTCGCCGCATAATGTAGTATTTTATAAATTAATTTGTTTTCTAATCATCTGCATCTTCAAGATCTAAGTCATTTAATTCGTTATCTAGACCATCTAAACAATCTTCATCCAAGAATAAATTTTCGTTTATAGGTACTGCCTCGTCCCCTACCAAGGCAGAAGCTAAATTACTGCCCTCGTCATCCAATCCATTTGAAAGATGTGAATTTCGAGTATCTTGGGCTACAGTTCCAGAACCATCAACCTAAAAATAAAAAGGAACTTAGCAAGTTAAAACCAAAAGATCCGAAATATTACCTCTTGTGCTGCTAACGATAATTCATTCAAATCAAGTTCTCTAAACTCTACAGTATCGTCGTCTTCCTCTGAACGGGCGTATTCTGCGTATGCAGCATCATCTTCATCTATTTGTCCATCGTCTACTAAATCGGGGTTAAAACTGAACATTTCTCTACCAGATAAACCAAATTGCTTTCCTTGTTTATAATCATTCTTTTTCTTCTCCTCTTCCGCAGCGAGTTTATCTTTTTTCTCCTGAATTTTCCTTTTTTTCCAAGCCAAAAATGTTTCTAGAGTAATCTTCGTCTAAAAATATTAAAACCTTAGTATTGGCTAACTAATAAGTTTATTTTTATTTTTATTTAAGGGATTTTGAGTTAAATTTAAATGCAAAGATAGGTGTACACTTTTAATTTAAATTTGAGTTACTTGATTTGGTCCAAGCGCCGCTCGTTCCCTTTCAATTAAATCAACTAGTGAAATTTCGACCTTCATTTCATCCATTTTCTTTTTATCTTTTTTTAAAACATAACCTTGAGGAAGGGCATGCCTGTAAATACATTTATCCCCATTAGGACATTCCCAAAACCATCCGTATTTTGATTTCTCTACAGCTTCAATAAAATATTTACAAATCTAAATAATATTTGCTTTTAGAAGAAGTATTCAAATCGAACTAAAAAATCTTACAATTTCCGTTGTCGGTCTATTTTTCTCTTTACCGTGTTTTTGGTCAACAACATCCTGCAATTTTGCATCGTCCCAGTTGTCCATTGTGTCATCATCTCTCATATCAACATAAACCGACCTTTTTTCGACCTATTAGAAAAAGCGAAATTGAAGATCTTGCAATGATAAAGAATTGGCTTTAAATCACCTTATTATCCATAGTCAAGTCATGTGAAAATTTACATTTATCACCTTTTCCACATTGACCGGCCTTAAAAAACGCACATACCACAGATTTAGGGTCAGTTCCTTTTTCTATCTTTTGTGTTTGAACTGGCTTGAATAGTTGTGCTAATTCTTTTTGCTCCTTTAACTTTTTTTCTTTTTCTTCTTTTTTAGCATTAGCCGGATTTAACGGATGAACACCCCCACTTTTGACTTGCTTTTCTACTTGTTGAATAAATTTTTGCTGCTTAGCACCTTTTTTATTTTTCAAACCAAATGTTTTATCCTAAAAACATACCACTTGTAATAATTCGCATTCCATTTTCAAAACTTATTTATCTCTCTATTAACCTCAATAACTTTTTCTTTTTTTTTTTGTTCGGTTTTTTTACTCGTAGCTGGTACTTTTTTCGGTGGCATTTTTTAAAGTTTGCTTCTTCCTAAAGCGAAAATTGTTAAAATGTTTTTTTTAGTTTTAAAAAATTCTTAATAAAATATATAAACACAGTCACCAAAAATGTAACACAGCTCGCAATGTGGCTGACAGCTGAAAGAAGAGAGTGTAGACGTAAACATAGCTAAATTGAATGAAAATGTGATGTGAAGTATCAGTTGTGACATTTATGTGACAGTTACATTGTTTATCACCGACGGTTTACATAGGCAAATAATCAACTGCTGATCCGATATTAATAGTAGAGATAATGTAAACAAAACTGCACTGTATCACGTTCAAAATCAAATTTTATCAATCAATCACCCCATTTATATAGCAGTTTCAAGCGCACTTGTCCATATAAAAGTTACTTGTCTTGAAACCGGCTTCACTCAAGCTAATCAAAAAATTTTGAGTACCCCAAGCCGACATAGTAAAATCGCGGATTAAGTTTCAGTATAATTTTAAGTCAAGTACACAAGCTGACATATGAACGAGGAAAACCCTATTCATAAAAATGTAGGACCTTTCAACAATATATCGAAATCATTATAACTGTCGTATTTTAGTCATCTGAGTACTTAAAATGTAAAATTTTCGAAACTCGTAAATTATTAGAAGGTTAACATTGTGGAAATATGCGTACAGAAAATATCAGATGTTTTTTCTTTAGTTTTGGTTTTCTCTAAGTCAAGTTTAGTTTTATAATTTTTTCCATGTATGTATGTACATAAATTAAAAATTTACAAAATGCAATTAAAATTTTGTTTTAAAAAAATGTCAACAATACTATATTTTGTATTGCATAACATATTTTGTCGCATTTTTTCAAATGTTTATTGAATATTTTTGAAATTTACTATCAGATCCACAAACTGAATTCCGATCGACCGAAATATGTCAAAAAAGATGCGAATATCGCAACATATTCATAGCAACAAAAATTCATTATCCTTAACGCGAATTTGCTTTAATAGGTTTGTTAAACAATAAACATAGTATTATGGTTGGCTTTGAACAACTTTCAAATATACATATATTGCATATACATCACGCTGTTGTTTCGTTGTATTGCGTTTATGAAAATCCCTTGAGTTTTTCGAAATGCCAAATTAATGGTTATAATAAAGCAGATATTTAGCCAGTACACAAAAAGATAGGTCTGTCTTGTATAAGAAATTTTTTAAAAAACTTGAAAAAACTTTATAAAGTTTTAATATGCAAAGCGTCTGGTATAAAACTTTTTGAGGAAAAATGATGACGAAATCGTTTTCTCAATATACAAGGTTCTTTCAAGTTTTAGTGTTTACTTTATTATAAGTAAAATTTAGTGTTTTAAAAACTTTTTGCTATCAAAGTATATGTTTTTTTATATGTATGTGCTATTTAGGTTTGATAAACATTTTGAAATTTGAAGTTTATACGTATTTTTAAAATTTTTCAAAATTTTTTCGACTTTTCTGTCTGGTTTATATTTTTCTTAAATCATTTTTTTTTGTGACAAATTACGTCACTGTTTTCTTTTGTTAAAGTTTTTTCAAGTGAGATTTGTCTAATAATCTCACATTATAAAATATATTTGAAAGGAAAACTTTCTTCACTTTTCAATTAAAAAATTCAAAATTTTTTTGTCCTATTTTCTCTATTAAATTTTGTAACCGAGTCGTTAGCTCTCGTTTGCTTACCACTTCCAAATTCCCAAAATATTCCATTTTTATTGAGAAATAGATTTTTATAAAAGTTGTGTAGGCAAGAAAGAAACAAAATATTGTAAACAAACGAGTATATAAAAAACAGCGAACTGGAATAAAATTAAATAAAGTTAGGTAAAAATTAAGTAAAAACATGTATGAAAGCTTAAGGTATAAGCACAAAACTTCATGTACTGTGATATTGTGCACATACACATGTGAATGTTTCTAGTACAGCAAACACAAAAAATGTATTAAGTAATAATAAAGAAATAAAGCAACTTACAAAGAAAAAAATGTGTATGCACGTTGATTCAATTATCGAGACAAGATTGAAATAAAATTGAAATTATCACGTATCGGTAATACACATTTTTCCCTTTAAAAATTGCTTTGTTTCTTTACCTCGTCTAAAATTTTTATCTTAATTTAATTTCAATTCCGTTCAGTGTTTTTGATACACTCGTTTGTTTACAATATTTTGTTTCTTTCTTGCCTACACAACTGTTATTAGCAACTGTTTCCCAAAAAAATGGAATATTTTGAGAATTGGAAAGTGGCAAGCAAACGAAAATTAACCGAATGGAATGAGTCGAACCAACAAATTAGAAATACTAAAGAAAGGGGCATCTTGAAAAAGTAATAAAGCCAAATTTTTTCTAGTTGTCTCTTTCTTTGCTCTGAGCATTGTCAAAATCGTAACAGGAGCGTATTTGTTTAATCTGTTATTACTCACTGAAGTAAATCGTATTCTTCCTTATTCATTGATTAAACTTCATAAATTAATTTGAGCTTATACATTAATTAGCGTGAATAATTCATGCTAATATTTTCTTTTACTTACTGAATTTAACGACATCGAAACGTCTTCATATATTTCTTTTGATGACCAAATCTTCACTCTATAAAGGGAAACATGTTTCATTTCATCATTTCTAGGAAAACTGTAATTATACAAAAAAAATGTCATATTTTAGAATATTTGTTTGTACGCTACACTTTACCAAACACAAACTCATTTTACTCAAAAAAAAATCGTTTCCTGGTAAAATTATGTTATCCCAAATTATGTTATGCCATATTAAATTTAAAACAAAACAAAAACAAATGTTTTTTTTGCAAATTAAAAACTTAGTAATATTACAAATAATGAAATAATGAAAGCACTGAATATTTGAAATAAATTAATTGAGTAAATATTTCTTTTAATTATTGAAATGTATAATATGCACAGGCATAAAAAAAGCTATTTGTTTTTGCAAATGGGAATAACAATTTGGAAATATGTATACACGTGTTTCTTTTCCAACAATTTTGTTTTTCACTTGTTATAATTTTTTTATAAGTTTTTATAAAATAATATTCTTTTTTTAACACTTATAATTAAATATTTTATGATTTTTGTTTACAAACTGCACTAATTTTGTATATAAAATAACAAAATCTTCTTTCATTACTTTTTGTATCAACACGGCGTACTTTTCTCAGAATAAAAAACAAAATTTGCATTTAATGTTAATTTCAGTTTGACAATACTTAAAACAAAGAAAGAGACTTACCTGAAGTTTTTGGCTTCACTATGTTTTTTTTTCAAGATACGATTTTTTAATGAGTGTAAGAAGGATAAAAACAAAGAAGTCCTTCCTTTTGTATTTCTAATTCGTTGAGTCGAACTACTTCTAAATAGATATACTTTGGTATATCTATACTAGAAGATTAAAGTTACAACTTTAATCTTCTAGTCTATTAAGAAATCGATTTTTCAAAACAAACTGTTATTATATGCACAATCGATTATTGTAAATTTTTTCAGATTATTAAAAAACAACTATAATCCACCGATTAAAATTTAAAAAGTATAATTTTTTTTTTACCATTTTACATTTTATTCAATAAGGAAAATTTGGAAATCTAATAATTTTATTATTTCTGTAACTTACTAGTTTAAGAAAGAAACTGGTATTTTTCAATAATAAATTTCTCATTTTTCGTATGGATTTTTCGTGGACTTATTAGCGCCTTGATACAACCATCTTTTTTTGTTAGCGGTTTGAAGGAACTCTTAAAGGTTTTCGTCGATAATGTGACATTGCTGTAAGTTTTTTTTCGTTCTATACGAAAAATGAACTTCGTAAATGAACTTTGTTTACCTAACAAATATAAAAAAAATCATATGTTATTAAAAAAATGAGTTCAAATTTTTGGTTTCGTTTTTTTTTCTAAAACTTCATCAGAAAACATATTTGACTCAAACAAATCTGCAAATATCTAGCATTTAACTAAAAATTTCTTGTGTTTAAGTCCTTTTATTAAGAATTGATGCCTCCTGCATTTGTTTGTTCTCTTTTTCGGTTGACTGATTTTTTTATATTAGTTTACCTTTGTTTATATGTACACTAACATAGTAATATCCCGCTTTTCGAGATTTCACTTTACGACTTAAAAAATTGCGGCGAAAATGACATTGCGACGTCAATACGTACATTGTATGCTGTGTGTATAGCAAACATGGCCAAACTGCGGCTGCGGCCAAACCAATTTCATGCAGCTCTCGAAGAAAAAATTAACAAATATTTTTAGTGCAGCTCAAGTCGAAAAAAAATATTCCCAAAAAAAGTTTTTTTATAGAAACTTGACTAAAAGTAAAAACGCAGTAGAGTATATCTTTTCCCACACTTTTTAATTTTGTCAACGCTTACTTAACATATGGAAAAATAATTTGTATATATTGTCAAAGCTTAAATTCTTAATCACTCAACTTAGATTTGCAGGGTCAGCAGAAAACTATTTCTGATCTCACGCAAACAATCTTTAATTTTCAAAAAAAAATGCTACTTTTTAAAAATGATATAATGACAATTAATTTCAATCATTTTCCGAGATTGAAAGAAAAAGTCGGAAATAGAAAATGAAAAGCTTAAAGAATATGTGGATAGATTGCAGGAGTTGATGGAGAATTTTAATTTACGATTTCAAGATTTAAAAAAATTTAAAATTTGTATAAATTTTCTTGTAAATCCATTTGACATTGATATTATTGGTGAAGACTTCATATTTCCACAATATTTACTGAGTAAGTTAATTTCAATGTTCGGCATAACATATTGCTGCGGAACATTATATTTTACAATCAAAAATATTAAGTCCAAGCACCAGTCGCAGCTAACAAATGAACATTTGACTGAGCTTATACGTACGGCATTCACAAATTATAAGCCAGATTTTCATAAATTTGTAATACACACCAAGCCACATGCATCAACCAGTAAAGTATAAAAATATCATATTTTTTTCTTTAATTCTAACTCTTTTTTATTCGTAGGACTAAGATATTTTCAACCAGATATTACATAATTTATAATTTATATCATTGCGGCTTGCAAAAAATTCAAAATTTTGAGTTTTGGCTCTTACCATGACCAAGTCTGGCCAC